GCCATTTCCTTTTCCAGGGGGATCGTCCCAACCCGGGGATCGAACTCACCTTTCCTCTGTCTCTTGCATTGCAGGTGGATTCTTTACCTGCTAAACCATTAGGGAAGCCTGTTCTGAACATTGCATATAAATGGATTCCATTGTGATGAGCTTCTTTTACTTAACACAGTAAAACTGTTAGGGTTTACCCATGTTGAATTTATCAGGACTTCGTTACTTTCTGTTGCTAAATATTCCATTTTATAGATATGCAATATTCATGAATTCATGGACATTTGGACCTTTGGGCCATTATGAATAATGCTGCCATGAACATTCATTTATAACACATCTTGTCATTTCTCTTGGGTTTATACCTATTAGTGGAATTGCTGGCTTATATGGTAACTGTTTAACCATTTTGAAGAACTGCCAGACTTAAGAGTGGTACCCTTTTACATTCCCACTGGTAGTATATAAGGGTTCAGATTTCTCTGTATCCTCAACACTTGTTTTTATTTTTCACTGTAGCCATTTTAGTGGGTAAGAAGTAGTAGTACCTCATTGTGGTGTAGACTTGCATTTCCCTAACACCTAATGCTGTCAGGCATATTTTTGTGTACTTATTGGCCATTTGCATATCTTGGAAGAAGTGTCTGTTCAGATCCTTTGCCCATTTTTAAATTGGGTTATTTGTCTTATTATTGAATTGTAATAGTTCTTTGTTATTCTAGATACAAGTTTCTTAACAGATATATATGATTTATGAAATTTTCTTCTATGGATTGTCTTCACTTCTTGGCATGAAAGTTTTTAATTTTGACAATTTCCAATTCATCTTTTTCTTTCTTTCATTGCTTGTGCTTTTTGTTGTCATATCTTGGACATCATAAATTCTTAATTATTATAGACATTTTCTAAATATCTCTGAAAGCCACAACAAAAAGGACACCACTATTTAATGAAAAATATGACTACGTCTACTAATACATATTTGGAATTACACCCCACTTGCTCTGGTCTTCTCTTTTATCCTGTGTCCATATTCCGTAGTTTTGAGTACTGACCAAAAGAAGCAAAGGTAAATATCAAGAAATAGCAACTTTTAAACTAAGTTTAACTCAAATTTTTGAGAATTATTTGTTACTAGAGTATTTATTATGTTGTGTGGATGTAGTGTATCACTCATAAATTTAAATTCTCCTGTATTAGGGGAATTCACACTTAGCAGACTTTTACCATGGAGGCATCCCTGGTATCTTAGGCATAAGCAGTCTGCCTGCAGTGTAGAAGACATGGATTCCATCCCTAGGTCCAGAAGATCTCCTGGAGAAGAGAATGTCTGTCCACTCCAGTACTGTTGCCTGGATAATCCCATGGACAGAGGAGCCTGGTGGTCTACAATCCATGGGGTCGCAGAGAATTGGACACAACTGAGTGACTTAACAGACACAACATGGAGGCAGTACTAACTCCTTCATTTTTTGCAGCTGACTAAACTGACCTCTGGAGAATCTAAATTTACGTACTAGTAGAACATTTTCCCTGGGCAAGAAATAACAGTAAAGCATAGTCTTCGTCACTCTGAATATTAATAGCATTATCTCTTTGTGAAGAAAGTTTTGAAAGTTTAGTTTGATTGATGATTACTAAAATTTGTTGTTCCTCATCAATAGTTTTGGTTTATAAAAGTTCATTTACTTGAAGGAAGTATTGTAGCCGAAGTATTGTAGCCAAAGTCTTGTAAAAATACTGATTTCGTTATTTTATTAATCAAGTCTGCATCAACAGAAAGGTTAGCATAAATAGCCAGCTCTTGCTTTCCTTTTTTCCATAATTCATTGTTTTTCTATTGTTTGGAAACAGTTTACGGTTTGAAATAATTATTAACTAAATACTTGTTTGGAGGGAATTTATATGTAAACTGATGGTAGGGATTAGTTTATACTTGCCTAGCTCTTTGGTGAGTTTGTGAGCCCTTATGAGAGAAAGGGTTCTTGGCTGCTTTACACTATAGTCCCCATAGTTTTTGGCAGAACACTTAGTTATGTAATATACACGAAAACTTATAATGAATGAATTCCTCTTGGAGGGTCACAAATTTGAAAAGCAGGGTTAAAACCAATCCCCCTTGAGGTTTTGCACCAAGGGGGATTAAAACCAATCCTTCTTGAGATTAGAGGAAGCTGACATATATGCATATGCTTAGACAGTTAGGGGCTTCCCTGGGGCTCTGACGGTAAAGAATCTGCCTGCAATTCAAGAGAACCTGGGTTCCATCCCTAGGTAGAGAAGATCCCCTGGAGAAGGAAAGGAATGGCAACCCACTCCAGCATTCTTGCCTGGAGAATTCCATGGACGAGAAGCTTGGTGGGCCACGGTCCATGGGATCACAAATAGTCGGACACTTGTAATTGCTTAGACAGGTTACAGATTTATTTTTTAAAAGCCAAGGAAATTAGATTGGTTTTTTCATAGCTTAAAAAGAAAATTTTCTCCCTGGAGTCTAAATTAATTCTGATGGTTTACTAACACTTTTCACCTCTGAAAGAGGAAAAATAGCATGAGACTATTAATCAAAATGATTACCAGAAGTCACTACCAGGTTGATAAAAGTACATTTACCTGAAATGCTGGGCTTGATTCTTTCAGGATTAGAGATAAAAGATAGCTAAATATGAAGTGAAGTGAGTCCTTATCAAAACTGTACATAAAGTCTACTGTGGTCTACATGTCATTTTTCATCCATGTATATTAACCATGGCTAGTTTTTAAGATATAGTTCAATATACCCTTGGTACTTTGCGTGCTTGAGATTTTTCTAGTAAGCCAAATATAATTAAAATGATTAGCATGTTGCTTAATAGTTTATGCAGTTCTACTGCCAGATATTTCTCCACTTTTTATAATATCAGAAGCTAGATGTGCATAGCCCTAAACAGTCTTGTAAAGTTCTTAGAAATCTCTTAACATCTTAGTTCTCCATCTGTGAAGTCAGAGCTAAAGCCAGAATTGCTCTTATATATGAGTTCTGCCATATAACATGTACAGTGTTACTTCAGGAAAACTGATTTTCACTCTTTGTTGTCTAGTATGTAAATAATTCACAAAGAATAGCATTTTAATATTTAGTTCAAAGCAGAACTGTTATAATCGTTAACTTTATACACCTTTTTTTAAACACTTGGACATTTATTTTTCCTTTCAATACAGTGATTTTCACATAGTCACTCAGGCTTTGTTGAGTAAATGGAGTAATGGGCTATAAATATTTAACCTCCAGGCATAACTTTTGTAGGTCCTTAACAGTGTTAGCCTTGAGCTAGTTTATGAAGCAGAACTTGAAATTTGAAGACAGCTTCACTCTTTACTCAACACGGAAATTGCTCTTCTAAAAGTAATTACATATAGGAGATGCATAATGCTCTTTTCCCTTTAAAAAAAAAAAGGCAGCTTCAAAAATCTAATTAGTAGAACTTCATGTATAGAATCTTATATAAGGTCACTTCTTTGAAAGGCTCAAGGTGGAAGAAGCTGTGGAAATGGTATCAGATGGGTGTTTGGATAGAAAGAAGAATGGTAAGAGTTCAGTTGAATGTTATTGTCTACAATATGCATAGTCATAGCTGCTGCTCTGCTAAGCAGCGTCGTTTGTCTCTCGGTGACCAGATCTGTGAAGGCTTGTTTCAGAGCCATGAGTAGTCTTACCTGAAGGAAAACAAGGCAGATACATTGTGCCAGTACTTAAAAAAATAACAGTAACTGATTTGAGAAACTACTAAAGCTTTCTTATTGAAAGATAGTATAGAATTAGTCACAATAGAATATGAGGATGGTTTATGTAAATCAAATAGTAACTTTCCTAATTCATTTCTGCTAAGTACTTCTTTTGAGGACAGTTTCTTACAGAGCATACTACATATTTTAAAATAACTTATTAAAAATAGCATTCAAGTACTGTGGTAATCAGAAAACTGCAATACATCATAACATGTAAATTTTGAACTTAGTTCAGCCCAATAAACAAATAAATTAGGGAATTAGTTTTAATAAATAACATTGAAAAGATTCCTTTTTGTTGTATGTGGTTTTTTTTTAGGTAGTGGTAGTTGAGTACTGGTGTTTACTATTAATAACTTATTAAAACATATAAACACATTTTCAGGCTTTTACTTTTGTCTCATGAGTGATTAAATCTCATCAAATTCAGATCACATAGAATTAGTTTCAGATACAGCTTTTCTTCCCTTCCTCTAATACTAGACTATAGGCTAAAGTATGGATTTGTATTCCAGTTAAGGGAGAAAGATCTTGGTAGGATCATAGAGAAAACTGTTTCTGAAAATTATGTCAGAATTTACTTAGCTTGGTAAAGTTGCCAGGTTATTTTAGTTTTTCACATTGCCTATTCTGGTTCTTTCACTAAAAACATAAAAACCTTAGTTTGTTAGGGTGTAATCAGTCTCTAATACAGTTCTTATCGCTGGAGTTGATAAGTGTGTTGAGCGTGGAGTGTGCTTGTTGTGTACATACACACACACATGTATACATACACATTACAACATCCAAATACGCTGTTTTCCTATCTGGTTTCAGTGAAAGTATGCTGTATTTAATACCAAATGACTATTATTAGCATCAGAAACCTGAAGCATTAAATTTCCAGTATTGATTGCATACATCTCAGTTCTGCTTGATAGGGCATACAATGAAGATAAATGAAGTGTCTCAAGGTTAAGAACCAAAAAGCATACAGGAGGGAAAAACAGAAAGAAGCAGTGCACCACAATCATTGACTCCTGGAACCTAGAGTCCTTCATGTAGCAGCTGAACATTTTGCTACTCTCTTTAATAAATTAATCATGTGGTGGTGGTTTAGTTGCTAAGTTGTGTCCAACTCTTGGAACCGCATGGACTGTAGCCCACCAGGCTCCTTTGTCCTTGAGATTCTCAAGGCAAGAATACTGGAATGGGTTGCCATTTCCTTCTCTGGGGGATCTTCCCAACCCAGGAATCAAGCCCGGGTCTCCTGAATTGTAGGCAGATTCTTTACCAACTGAGGTACAAGGGAAGCTCAAATTAATCATAACACTCAGAATATTAATCTTAGTCAAGACATATTAAAGGTGTACGAGTATGCTACCAAGGCTTTCAAACAGCTGTAATATACTAAAAACTTAGCAAGTACAAAACAACTATGTAAAAAGTACTGTACATGAGTGCTAGATGTTTTTAGGTTTTCTGCAAGGTATTTTTAGTAATACATTTGACTGTGACAACAGACTGGTCATTTAGTTTTAAAATCAGGCGCCCAAATGTGACTTTTTTGCTGTGATTTTTCTGGAGACTTTAAGTCTTAAGTCTGCTTTTGTGATTTCCTTAAATCCCTGGACTTGGTGAAAGACCCACTTGCTAGATACAGGAGCAGTTTGGTTTTTTTTTTCCCCTAGTTTATAATAAAGGTCATTTGCATTTTAAAAACCATGGCCTATATTCATATGTTCTATTAGTTACGAATGTATTATTTCTTTTTCAGAGTCAAAATTCACAGTTCATTTCTATGAATACTGATCTGCTCATTCTAAACTGGATTACATTTGTCATAGATTTAAGGGATTAAAAAGTGAACTTGTGAGGGAGATGGATTTATTTTTCATAAACTTGAGCTAGGATGTTTAGGATCTTAAGGACCTGGGCATTTCTTAAAAGTTCAAAGTATTTTAGGATAAAGAACAAGGTGAAGATTTACAGCATTCTTTCCTTTCACTTAATGGTTGTTAGCGAAAATGATGATACAGGCTTGCTTTCTTGTTCAGTGACCTTTATTATAGAATTTGGTACTGCCAGAAATTTCTCCCCGATTTGGTATAGTTCTGTATAGGTGCTGGGTAGGTGAATTTGAATGCTACCTTATCCATGAGGGCTTTATACTGATCCACTTTTATAGTATTGAAAATCCCTAAGCATCCTTCCCACCCTTATATTTTACCCAACACTTACTGTGTTCTGATTTGTTACACGTTTTACTTGTTACACTTTCTCTCTTCTATTTCCACACACTAGAATATAAATTCCACAAAGTTTTAAAAAAATTTATTCCTTCATCTCCAGTAACTTGAACAGTGCCCAACATGTAAGTACTCAGATACAATACAAGTATACTGTATGTAATGTAAGTTATTAAAATTGAAGATCCTGTTGGTTTAAGAACAGTGAATTATTCACTTCTGGTGAGTTACCTCAGGATATATTGCTTTACAGAGTAAAATACATTGCAACATAAAAATTCTAAACCCATTAACTTAACTTTGAGACATCATTCTAATATTCTCATTTTGCCCTAGTAGCTGCAGATTGATTAGGAATGACCATGCTTTATCTTTCATCCTTTATACAAAATCAGACACCAACCACTGACTCACTCATTTCTCTAAAGGCCTACTGTAATTAAAGTCTTTGCTTATACCATTTTTCTTGTCAGAAAATAAATGCCCAAATTTATTAATACTGTATTTATCCTCAGTGTTTGGCATTCCACCACTCTTGACTGTTGCACCATACTCTTCTTAAATATCATGGAAGCAGTCATTTGACACTTGACTGGAATGTTTATCCTAACTGTATTGAAATTTTTGAATATCCATTGTCTTGACTGTATAAAGGTACAAAAGTGATACAATCCTAGTCAGATAAATTTCTCGAAACTTTCTGAGATGGAAAGAAAAAAGCTGCTTTATCCTCTTTGAAAATTAAGAAAAGGACTGTTAAACTGATAAATTTTACATATCATAATGTATCTGAATGGTAATATTTTTATATTTGCCCAAGATTAAGAGGCTAGGTGACATATTTTTAGTCCATCATCATTACTATGAACCATATAGAAAAAGGAGGTAATAAATATTGTGGCCTGTGTAATTATGTGTGTGTGCATGCATCTTGTGTTGTCACTTCCTAAAATCAAAGCATTTAAAATTGAGAGAGAGCTTTTTATCCATCTCTTATTTTCAGGTGAGGAAACTAGAACACAAAAAACCTAATTTGTCCTGTGACCACTTGATGACAGCTCCAGCTTTCTATCAAATGTTAGGCTATTTCCCAACTGTTCAGAACAGCATTCTTTGTTTCGCTCAAGGTTAGGTGCATAATACTGCAGAATCATTCCCTTTTTGTTTTTCATATTAAGAGATAGAACTCTGAAGACCCTTATAGCAAAATGGCATGTCTTTGTGAATGAATTTATTTATTTTTTTTAATTTTAGGCATGACACTATTTTGAAATTCATTTTTAAGTTCATAGTTTTCAAAGAATTATATTCTATTTTTAGGGAAAAATCATGAAAATACCTAAATCTTAAATAACATTTCCAAATAAATTTTGGAATTCAGAATTATTGGAAGGACTCAAGAATTCTTGACAAACTGTCAAGCTAATCTAGATTTTCCGTGATTTCTAAAGATCTATTGTTTCTAATGTTCCAAATCCAGTATTTTTACAACATTCTATCTGAATTCATATGTACCTGATCTTTGCTTATTCGGTCTTATTGCTTGTTTTTGCACTCCCAAAATGCATTTCATTTGTATAATCAATTAGGAATCTCCTTCCTTCAACTAATTTTGGAAACCTGTGTATTGGCGCTGTTAGATGATCCTGTGTCTGAATACTGCTCTGCTTACTAAGACCGCTGCTGGGTTAATAGAAAAGTTGAAGACTGTACACATCATACCTTGTTATCTCTTTTCTCTCCACCTGAAGATACAAACACAAAGGAGTGAAAGCCTTCAAAGTCATAGTTAATGTGCTCACATTGAATGCTAGTTTAGTTTAGTTGGAGACTGCTGTTTCAGCACCTTCAAGGTGAAAACCAGAAGAATAGTTTCTGGTTTAGTTGACTCTTGAATTTCTTACCTGAAACAAATTGTTTTTCCTTAAATGATTCTCACTTGTACTTTGAGAAAGGCCTGAATTAACTGATGAAAGACAACAATTGTACTGTTGCTCAAGTGGTTGATATCTACTCAAGCTAGTTAATATGGCTGTCCCCAACTTTGAAAAAGGCTTGGTTGTCTTCCAGAATGAAATGGTAATGAAACACAGGCAGTTTATTTACATGGGGGATCCTAACCATTGGAAACACCACACTTTGTCTTTAGAAGAAAATTAAAAGTAAGTAATAATATCTAGTTGGGTAGGGAAGAAGATGCAAATCACATTCTTTCTTTGAATGTGACCTTGTAACTATAATTACTTATGTTAACTATGGTTTTATTCTTTTGTTATATAATCATAAATATTTTATTTTCTGAAGCAAATTGCAATGATACCCTTCCCGGGTGGCACTAGTGGTAAAGAACCGACCTGCCAATGCAGGAGATAGAGGAGACGTGGATTCACTTCCTGGGTCAGGAAGACCCCCTGGGGAAGGGCATGGTAACCCATTCCAGTATCCTTGCCTGGAGAATCCCATGGACAGAGGAGCCTGGTGGGCTGCAGCCCACAGGGTCGCAAAAAGTCAGACACGACTGAAGTGATTTAGCACGCACACACCTTAAATGTTGAAAGAAAATTAATTGGCTCTAACATATTGAAAAGTAAACAGAAGAAAGTATGATCTGTGCGTTGAGTTACTTTTAATCAGATGGTAGGGTGAAACTATTTGGATGACAGCGTAAAAAAAAAAAAAGTGGCGAACTTCCCTGGTGGCCCAGTGGTTAAGACTCCATGTTTCCAATGCTAGGGGGTGTGTGTGTTTGATCCCTGGTGGGAAAGATTCCACATGTGGCATGGTGCTGCCAGAAAATTAAAAAAACAAATGTGACTTAGACTTAGACTGAAGTCTTTCCAAAATGGTTGTGTGTTCTCTGTCTACAAAAAGGTAGTATGATGGTAAATTTGCTTTTATCTTTGTTCTCATTAAGTTGATGATGTGGGGGAGAAGACAGAGAAAAGTTTGTGGGTTTCAGCTGTTATTTAGCTTGACTCATTGCTGTCCTCAGATGGATCATTTACTTATTGTTATTAAGATTAGATTTTTTTGCTTTCATGTTTTCTTTCGGAGCAACAGTATGGATCGTATTTAGTATTCACAAACTATTTTTTGATGTTGCTTTCTGTTTAAGTCTGTCTGAAATTTTTTAGTTTAAAAGAACATCAATTTTAAGTGTACAACTCAATTATCACAGGGGGTAGTAAAGTTATTTTACAATTCTTTTTTAAAGAGTTATTTTTACTCTTCAGAAATTTAGGTAAACAGTTCAGGTAAATTTTGAACAAATACTAATTTCATATTATAAGTATCAGATTAAAAACTTTTTATCAGTGGATATTTCAAAATCATGACCGAAATAAAGCTTTTGGTTCATATTTTCAAAATGTTACCCATCATTTCTGGTATTAGAATTTCTTTAATTGCACACATAATCCTGAATCCATGCTCATAGAAAGAAAAAAAAAGTACTGAAATATATAAAAGTAAAAGGTGCAAATCATCATATACGATTCTACCAAATCTTTCTCGTTTCAGAGCTACCACTTATTATGGTTCAGTTATAATTTCTACACCTTTTCCATGCCTATACCTTTATAACAATTTGTTTTACATGTTTTGTTTTTAATGTAAATGGGGTTCTACATTATAATACGTTCTATAACTTGCCATTTCACTGTCTTGGAAAGCTTTATTTGTCATTCCATTATAGTTAGACTTCATTGTTTTTCATTGCTTTAATTTTTTAATGGTCCTCCTAATGATGGATACTTGTTTCTAGTTTTTTACTCTTCCAAAAAAAAATTTTATCTTTGTAAACTAGTCAGTGATAAGAGTTTCTTACTGAGTAGTAGTTTCTCTGTATTCTAGATGTTATTGTGTTGATTGTATGTATGAGATATATTCTCCTTGTGTACTTGTCTTCGTGGCTTTTGTCTTGTTAATATTTTAAATAATTATGTAGTCAAAGCTGTTGATCTTTTCCTTTGTCGTTTGTTTTGTGGCTTCTTTATTTCTAAATTATTCATTTCCACGGAGATATTTTCATTTTCAACTGTCACTTGTAAAAACATTTTATAGACTCCTGTGAATGGTGGCAGAATGTTGGTATGTGATACATTCTGATGGCATGTAATAATCACATAAGGATTAATGACTATTTTGATTATCAATTTCAGAGTTATAAAATAAATGTAATAAATTCTGGAAAAGCATTGGAGTTTTTGTGTTGTTTATCAAATCACCATAGGTAGTCCTTACTGTTAAATTTATTTTTGACAGGTAGTATGTTAGGGACTGAATAATAATGGTACACAAGTAAGAAGTAATCCCTTTTATTGTGACTCCTTGAGAACAGTCCCTCCCCAGTTACATCTGCTATATAGTCAGCTTTTCTAACTCAAAGTCATGTCACTGCTGCGAATTGCTCTCCACTTTTGCTGTCACCCAGTGCCAGATCGAACAAACATACTAAACTCTTAGCAAAGCAGGATCTAAAAGGATCAGCCTTGATTAGTTCATCCAGAATCTCTCAGTTAAAATTTTTAAGTGTTTTATTGTGTGTGTGTTGTTTGTGTGTATACATGCACATGTGTGGAGTGTTGCACATTATATAGGGTGAGGAGAACGCAAAAGAATCTTTTCTGTGTTTGAGGTCTCTAATTTGACTCTTGTCAAGAGCCATAAGTTGAGCTCTTGAAACTTGGGCTATTTTGTCTTAACCACCAGCCATTTCCGGAGGAAGTAGGTTATGATTTTTCTGTTTCTTCCCTATGACAGAGGGAATACCTTTATAGGAGGTACCTTGAAGCTGGTATCTCATAGCCCCTATCATCAGCTCACTTCTGCTCTCTGCCCTCCCTCCTTACCTGGTTGATACATTTTTAAAAAATTAAAACTTTGCTGCTGCCCTTCCTCTCCTTATTAGGACAGATTCATGGAAGAGGGGAATCCCATCTTCTATAACAGATGGAGTAATATTGGGAAGTAAAAGGAAAAAGCTTTTTTCTTTTTTTGAAAAAACTAGAACTTTTACAGCTCAGCATATTTGGACAAATCTGACAATAATCCAACTACATTGTAGCTAAACTAGATTTCTGAGTGCATCTGCTAACCTAACCAACACATATACCTTTTTATAACTTGAAAATTGCCTTTAAAACCACAAAAGCACAAAGCACTGTAGTGCTTGTAACACTCTTCCATATTATTGTAGGTAACTAAATGACCATGGAATCTGGAGCAGAGAACCAGCAGAGTGGAGATGCAGCTGTAACAGAAGCTGAAAGCCAGCAAATGACAGTTCAAGCCCAGCCACAGATTGCCACATTAGCCCAGGTATAAAAACATGGAGAGATTCCAAGTTGTCTCTTCTAAGAGGAATACGTTTTAAATACAAGAGAACTTAGTTTTTATTAGAGATATACATAGAATGAGTGGTAACATTCTTAGAATATCAAAATTCCTATTTAGTATCAGCCTAATTTTAGAAATGACAGTATTCAGTAACATAGAAAAATGTATTGTTAAATACTAACACATTATTTGTAGTAGTGACATGATTTAGGATAATTAAACTGATGGTAGATGGTCTCTTGAATAAAACCTAATATGATAACTGGGTTTCTTTTTTTCATATCATATAGATTTATTTGGGGGCATGGGGACACATAATCTTAAGAGCTAAATTTACATGTGCTTAAATGAAAAAGATAGAATAAACAAACAGATTGACACACAAGTAAATACCAATATCAAGGATGATAGTTTTTGTCCTTGTATTTCTTAAAGTATGATTCATAGTTCTTTCATTTTGTCTTTGTCTTAAACATTCTAAGGTTATATTCTCATCTTTATTTTTTGTTCTTACGTATTTTTCCTCCAATGTTTTATCAACATTTATTGGCATTGTGTTATATATGAGTGAGAAAAGTGGTTAATCTAAACACCAAATAGCAAACAAATAACCTGCTAGGTAAGAAGAGTGGGATGTTGCCTCTTTCAGGTGAAAGCTCCCAAGAGAAAATAATCCTAGCTGAGGCACTGGGACGTGGAGCTTCTGCTTCCCAGAGAGTTTAAAAGCTCTTCTACAGGAGTCATGAGCAAGAATGGATCTTGGGAAATGGAGGACTAATCACATATGGTCACCACACTGAGCTAAAATGCGGGTCAAGTACTAGGTCTCTAGCAGGAATACCAGGGCAAATACTAGGTCTTCTGGTAGTCAGAGCAGTGGGATGTTTTGTGTTTTCTCCTAAGATCACCAGGGCCCACCTCCAGCCCTGAGGAGTAAGGCAAAGCAGAATATATCTAGGGATAAAGTAAACGTACTCAAGATGAAGCAGGTGGAGGAACAAAGGTGAAAGCATCAGGGCCTCATTAGTACATGTCAGGGCAAATGTGGACATGAATCGGGACTCATCCAAGCACTCAGCCCTCTGGTAAAAAGAAGATACAGTAACAGCAGGGGTCTTGGTGATGACAATCCTCAACATACCTATCTCTTGGGACACCATTCTTCTGGTCTGGTTGTCCTCCTCGTCTGCTGTGTAACAGTCATTCTGGAGATTTCCTTCCTACTTTCTCTCTCTTGTGGAATTTTGTTCCCAGTGGTTCCTTGAGCAAGGTTGACTGGGTAAAGAATTCTTGGTAAAGAAAATGTTTTTCAAATTTTTAAGGCACACTCAATTTTTAGTATTTATGTTTCAAAAGACAACCTATTTCTTACTTTCTATCTCTTGTTACCTTGTAAAAATCTCTGTTCACAGTGCTTCACCATTTCATTATCAAGGCCTTGAATCGTTACCATCCATCGTGCAGTGTTCAGTGGGCCCTTTTTTTTTTTTAAGTGGAAACTCGGGTCTTCACTTCTGGGCAATTTCCTTAAGTCATCTGGTTGATGATTTTTTCTCTCCCTCTTCTTTGCCTTTTATCTCTTGAATTCTTGTGATGCAGATGTTACTACCTCTAGGGCTGTTTCTCTCATTTTCTCATCTTTTCTCTCCTGTTTTCAGTCTGTCTTTTTGCTCTGCCCTCAGAGATTTCTTCAACTTCACATTTCACCCCAGCTGTCGGGTTTTTTTTTTATTTCTCCTATCATGTTTCCAAGAGTTCCTTTTGTTTCTGAACAATCCTTCTGTATTTTAATAGTATCCTGTTTGTTTTATGCTTCCCTGGTGCTCAGACAGTAAAGAATCTGCCTGCAGTGCAGGAGACCCGGTTCAGTCCTTGGGTTGGGAAGATCCCCTGGAGAAGGAAATGGCTACACACTCCAGTATTCTTGCCTGGAGAATTCCATGGACAGAGGAGCCTGGTGGGCTACAGTTCATGGGATCGCAGAGTCAGACATGACTGAGCAACAAACATTTTGACTTTTTTTTTTTTTTTAAGTTTCATGCAGGCAGTATTTTCTCTATCTCTGATAATATTAAGTTTTCTCTATCTCTTATAATATTAAGTTTTCTCCTCTCTACATAGATTTTCTTCTGTATACAGTTTTCCTCAGTTCTCTTTTTTTGGTCACCATCTTTCATATTAGAAGCTTTCCTCAGATATTTGATAACTTGTGGTGGTTGGCCTACATTTAAAAGTAGGTGACCAAAAACCTATGTTGGATGTTGTGTGTATATGTTTGGGGCCTGACGTCTGTGAGTTGTGAGCTCCATGATAGGGTGGCATCCCAGTGTCGTTAAGTCTTTCTTAACTTGGTGTTTGTTGGTCAGGTTCCCCAGAGAAAAGCTTTACTATCTCCTGCATATAAGTAAAGACCTGTGAGCCAACCAACGGAAGGAGACTGGAGTTTAGTACCTCACCTCAGCAATGCCTGGTGTCAAGCAGTCAAGAAACCCTCTATCAGAAAATAAACCAACGTTTTTCTGTCCTTGTAGGGGAGATTAGTGTCCTTTCAGAGTGAGGAGGGGATCTACTTGCTTTTCAAAGAGCCTTCAGTCAGCCTTCCTTATCTTCAGCCCCTCCTCTCCCTCTTCCTTCTAGGTTGCTTTAGATTCTGAGCCTCTTGAGGACCTTGTGGCATGAATCAAGCTGTCCCTGCCTCCGCCTCATGAGTTGGCCTTCTGAGGTCTTCCAAGTTCGTTACCATTCACCCACCTGTTTCCAGCCTCCAAAACTCTTACTGTTACTTCCTTTCCCATTCTTCTCTGCTGGTGTGATTATGCCTATAAAAACAAAATCAGTTTCATGAAGCTTAGTTGGAAATTCGGGAAGGAACAAAATTATATGCACATGTTCAATTAGCATATAATCAGTGATAAGTGGAATGACATGATACTTGAGTTTTAGGAGAAATAATCTCTGTTCACTTTTGTAAATTTTGTTGTTGTTCTTTTAATACCTAATTACAGAGGGTTTTTTTTTTTTCACTTGCTCATCCAAGTCCTTAACACATACATTTTGACATAATTTCTCAGAATTCTGATACCTGTTTTTGTTGTCTAGTAGTAAACTAGACATTTATAATAAAATTGTCAAGACCATTGTGATTTGACCATTGAATGTAAAAAAAACAAATTCAGCCTAACTAATGAAGGAGGAAAATCAATCTAAAATAATAATGAAATGTCTTAAGATTTGGAATTTATAAGTATTTCTTTTAAAGTGGAAAAAACATGTTGGTTTTGACTATGAGAATGTTAATTTTTATGGAAGGTTTTAAGTAAAGAGCTGGGTGAAAGGATGATTGTTGGTAAGATTGTTGTAAAGTAACTTTCTTGTAACAGGCAAATTTGAAAACCTAAATAGTAATAAGGAATTTATTAAATTATGTAATTTTTACCATTATACAGTCATTAAAACCATTAAAGAATACTATTAATGGTATGAAGAGATATTTAGAATGGATTTGAAAGATTCTGTAATAGTGCTATAAAAATTGAGTGTATATATGCATCTTTAAAAACACATGTATCTACCGCAAAAATATTAAGTGATTAGCTGTGAGTGGTAGGAATATAAGTGATTTTTTTCTATATTGGTGTATCTGGATTTTCTAAATTTACAGTGAGAGGAACCATTATGTGGAATGATTAGCATAGAAAGAGGATTATTTGTTAGGTTAGCTTGTTAATTTACCTTATAGAATACTCAGAGAAGAGGACATACTAATTGCTTCAAATATTAGAAGAGCTTTCCATTGATATGAGATATTCTGAATAATTTACAGTTTTGGTTCTCCAACCTTGGTGTCGGGGAACATGTCCTTGGGTCCATCAGAGGTTCTGACTTTATAAACAGGCATCCTATGTAACTCCATTGGAGGTAATCTGTGGACCACATTTTGAGAACCAAGTAAAACTAAGTAAGATTTATAGTGGCCAAAAAAATGATTGATAAGGAAGGACTTCCTCACTGTCCAAAGGGGAAGCTCATGACTTTAGCCTCTGCCTTTAGTAGGTATCTTTCCCCCAAGCTTTATAGTCAGACATTTAACTGCCTTGTAAACAGCTCTGCAGATTCAGACGTCACATCCGTCCCAGCGTTTTCCACCACTGCCCCAGCTGCTTCCGCCTATAAACTGCTGCTGTGTTCTCTATTGGGCATAGTTCACCCATTTCCACCCACATGTGAACTGCGTGGGTCGTCTTTGACTTCTCTCTCACTTCCTCCCATCAATTCATAAATACCTTTCTGGTCTGCCTCCTGAATTTTCATTAAATCACTTATTATTTCCATCCCTAATACAACTAGTGCCTAATTGCTGGCCTTCACTTTTACTACTATATATAGACTTTCTCAGGTGGTCTCACCTCTACTTTTTTCTTCCTCTGAAATAAGTATCTTTCACACTACCATTAAAGTAGAGTGACCTGTCTAAAATGCAAGCCTCACTATGATATTCAGTTCAAAAGCCCTTCAGTGTTTTTTCCAATCTCACAATAAAATCCAAATTCTTTAATGTAACTTGTATAAGATTTCATGACTAGCCCATCTGGCCTCTGCCTGTTATTCCATCTCTCCACACTTCCTACTTCCTTATAGTAACAACACTTTTATATAGTAGTACCAACTGCTGGTCATCCCTCTCTACCATGTACAGACATTGCTGTTTCTCTTTGCTTTTGCCAGTGTCACCCTCTGCGTGAAGCTCTGTGCCTCCCCTCTGCAATTCATAAGAACATACCTTTCTCATTCTTCTTTTTTTTTTTAACTCACATGCTTTGTTTCACACTCACATCCTTCCCTGGCAGCCTGCCCTCCTCCTGCTTTGGGCAGGGTGGCTCTCCTCACTGTGTCCATTGTTCTCTCTGCAGGCTTCATTACTTTATTGAAGTATATTTATTTGTGGTCTTTTCCCCATTCCTTCATACCCATGCCTCAGTAATTTAAGGGCAGAAACCTATGTCTTTCTCATTTCTGTAGTTTCAGTTCTAGTGTTGTTCTGGCACACATATCCCCAGTAGTTGAGTTCAGTCACTCAGTTGAATGACTCATGGACTGTAGCACACCAGGCCTCCCTGTCCATCACCAACTCCCGGAGCTTGCTCAAAGGCATGTCTATCGAGTCGGTGATGCCATCCAACCATCTCATCCTCTGTCGTCCCCTTCTCCTCCTACCTTCCATCTTTCCCATCATCAGGGTCTTTTCCAGTGAGTCAGCCCTTCACATCAGGTGGCCAAAGTATTGGTGCTTCAGCTTCAGTGTCAGTCCTTCCAATAAATATTCAGGACTGATCTCCTTTAGGACTAACTAGTTTGATCTCCTTGCAATTCAAGGAAAGAATATGATCACATGACCTTCATTAAATTCCCCAGTAACTGTTTACCAAATGGACAAATAAAATTGCTACCCCCAAACACATTCAAGCACAGGAACCATAAATACTATACTATTTGATAGATATGTATGACTTAAGAGCCCTTTTAACCAACCTGGGTGTTGACTTATTAAAATTGCCTTCTTTGTGCCTAGGAGAAAACTGGTTTCTCAAATTCTCTCAATTCTGCCCCAAGAGGAAGGTAAATCCTTAAAATATCAACTATTACCAGTTAAGTGCTGGAAGGGGATAGAAATTTTCAGTTTGTACTTCCTCATGAATGAAAGGCATACTTGTAATAAGTTTATAAGAGAAAAATATGCTTTATACTATAAGATGTGTATTTGTTTTAGACTTAGTAGCTAAGCTTCGCCCAAGTTTGGGAACAATTATTCTTTAGAACATGGCTTAATTTAACACATGATACTCTGAAGAATTTTATATTCCTTCAAAGCTAGCTTATCTCTTGACCTTGGGTAAGTTGCTTAATCTCTTTGAGCACTTCATGTTTCTGTCTCTCAGTGGGGAGAGAATATGGGGATAATTCTTATTCTAACCCAGTCTGATTTCTTCAAAGAGCAAATGAGAAATTGAATATGAAAGCAGGTGGGAAAATGTAAAGCACCATACAAATAAAGTGGTATTTAGTGTTCATAAAAAGTCTGTGTTACATATTTTGATATTACATTAAAACAGTTTTTTGATTTTTGTCATTTGGGGGGAGTTTAAAAGTGGGGGGCATGGGAAGTATTTGTAGTGTTGTTTTTTTTTTTCTTTCCAAAAAGAATATTAAGTTTAATGTTAGTTCCTTTCACACCATTGGAATACTTAACCTAGCAGAAGGGTCATCCTTTTGCTGCTAAAAAGTTGCTTCATATTAGACATGAATACTCCCAAGGAGGTATCTGTGATGGTAATTTTTTTCCATGTTCAACACCATAGGTATCTATGCCAGCAGCTCACGCAACATCATCTGCTCCCACCGTAACTTTAGTACAGCTGCCCAATGGGCAGACAGTTCAAGTCCATGGAGTTATTCAGGCGGCCCAGCCATCAGTTATTCAGTCTCCACAAGTCCAGACAGTTCAGGTATGTGTATAAAAAGTTCTGCATCTACTTTCATAACTGTCGTTTATAGCCATATTTCTCTTCCTTTCATTATGAAAATAGGAACATGTCTAGTTTAGAGTTTTATTTTATAGTAATTATGGAATATGCTGCATCTGTATAATCACCTTAAGTATAGGAACATATATACACAGAACAGACATAATAAAAAACTGTTTCATAAACTGGAGGAAAAAAGAATTGATTGGGAAAATCATAAACCATATGGGATAAAGTGGAAATGTTGGGAGAGACCATAAGGGTACCTCAGGGAAATAAGATGCAAAATAATAACTTTGTAATTATTTTCTAAACATGCTGTTGGAAAAAATAACCCTTGTCAAAAATTAATAACCTTACCTAAGGTATTATTTGAATTTAAAGAAAAAAAACTATGTTCAGGAGTCTTAAGTTAGAGTATATACAACTTCAAAATGATACCTTCAGAAAGTGTACCTTAAGAATCAGGGATTTTTTCCATGCATGTTATCTTATTCTTTGAAGAGATTGTTCCTTTAATTTGGATCCAAGGGGAATAAAGGCATGTAAACCTCTACTTAACTGTAGAGTGTAGAGAACCTAGGGCAGTATACATCTTTGCAATGAGCTTATTGGGGAAGGAAAAAAAGAAAGACTTGAACGTTCATTCAAGTAGGCCATAACCCCAGCCTCCCATTTCATATTTTTTGCTTCACAGTCTTCCTGTAAGGACTTAAAAAGACTTTTCTCCGGAACTCAGGTGAGTCCTAGGTCCTATTTTTAGAAAGGAAGGTGAGAAATTATTCTTTATATCTTTTTCCCTTCTCTCTAACCATGGAACTCAAGGTTTGAATAAAAATCTTAGATATCTTCCAGGTCTAGGCCAAACTTGTTACCTATCCAGCCCTTAATCTATTACTTAGTTTCCCTATTTACATCCTTCTCCCCTCCTCCAAACGGCAGTCTGGCATTACTTCAACTCTTTCAGAGAAAGGAGGCAATCTCCAGAGGTAACCAGTTTATAATCAGGGATAATTGTAAAATATTCTTCCCTGAGGTGAACCAGAATACCTTTCTAAAAGTGTTACCTAGTGGTCCCAATTCTATCCCCAGAAACAAGTTAAGCAAACTTAACTCCTTTTCCTATTGGACTGCTTCCTTTACCCTATCTCCCACATCCTTCCCATTAAAAAAATGTCCAGACAAAGTAAATGCCTGTGTTTCTTCAGCCATCTATAATTGGCACTGCTTTGTTTCCTCTTCACCATCCATGTCGTCATCTTGTGGGTGAGAGCTGTTTTCTCTCTTTTTCCCTTGAGTACAGTAGCCAGATTGATTGATACTTGTTAGAGGGGAGAAGTCCCTTGTCTTCTATTAATGTCATCAAAGGATATATTAGATGTTAACTCCACCTCAGCTTCATTTGATCTCTGTGCTTTTCGTTTGCTTGGACATTTAGGGCAGGGCTAGAGGGAGAAAGAAGAATGAATGTGTTTATATAAGTAAAATCATCAAGTTATAATATTGAAAAGGAATTTGTTGTTACTAAATAGATGGTATAGTCCAGGTAAAGACTGAAGAATTTGATATTTCTATAGAACCACACTGACTGAACAATAGTCTCCTATCTTTTATCTCAGTTTTTATTTCATTGAATGCTGCCTAACTGTTGTTCATATGATGTATGCCATTACTAATTCCCTGCTCGTACCTTCCTCTTGATGATAGTGGAAAGAACCTGACCTCCTAGTCAGGAAACCTAGATTCCAGATCTCACATTAACCTTTACTTTTTCTTTTTCACTTACGGTAGGAGGTCTTTATATAAAGAACACAAAAAACTACCACAAAATTTGCTAACATTATAAACATTGGTTTTAATAAATGATGTTTAATTGTTGATTGTATTCTTAATTTTAATCTTTACTTTGTGGTAAGAGTAATAATAATGACCATTAACTTGTAGAAATGTGTGAGCTGTGCTTATAATTAGAAACCTGAATTCTATAAACAGAAACACAAACGGTATTTTTAATTTAAAGGCCCTAAACCATGGAGAAGCTATTAAACTTCAGTGGTCATTTCAGCTGTTTAACAGTGATAGAGTTAATCATTAGAGAATGGTGTATAACAGAAGAGGTGATCAAACGGGGAGAACTGACTCCTCAGACTCTTGATGGAAGAATATTAGTATCCTAGAGCAGCATTTCTGAAATATATAAGGTGCATTTCTCTTGATGTGAGAATAAGATACTAAGATTTCTGTTTATCTTTTTTCATCTCAGAGGATTAGAAACTAAGCTTTACTAATATTTCATATTCATCAGTGCCCTAACTTACCCCTTATGTATACATGTAAGTCAGATCTCACAGATTATATAAAAATTCCCACAAAAATACTGGGAGTCACACAAATGTATAGAAGTTAACAGTATCATCCTCACTTTTCATTTGTTAATTTTGGATGCATTTTTAATACAATGCAGTTAAAACATTTCATAGGATTTATGGATTATGTTACCTTAAATTATTACATTCATTCCTTCAATGAATTTTTATTGATCACATGCTATGTGCCAGTCACTGTTCTAGGTGCTGTGAAAGACAGCAGTGAGCAAATAATACTTCTCTATTCTCATGAAGATCACATTTGAGCGAAGAGAGACAATGAAAAAATAAAATATGTCAGGTGAGGATAAGTGCTGGGAAGATAATGAAAGCAGGGGAAAGGGATAGAGAATGATGTGGAGGGAAGGGTATTTTATTTTATGTAGAGTGGTCAGGGAACACAAACAGCAGCAAACTAGAAAGCAGTGAAGGAGGCTAAGCCATCCAAATAAAATCTAGTCCAGAGGCCCAAAAGTGCGAGTATGCTTTACATACCAGAGAATAGCAACACAACATGGCCTAATTAGAGTGAGCAAGAGGGATTGTGGTTGGCACTGACATTTTTGATACAGTCTTTACAATACTTTATAGTGTGATGGGAACAACAATAAAAATCTTTTGTGCAAGATACCCAGTGGTTATCATATAGCAAATATTTGAGTTGCTGAACAAACATAAGGATGTTACTTGTTTGTTTTTACATAAGACAACTGTTCCAAAGTTGCTGATCTTTGTAATGATGGCAAGCAAGAGATGACCTATAAAGGATATGTTAAGTAACAGACATTTTTGAAAAAAAGAAATTATTTTCAACTATCCTTTCTGAGAGAAGGTGACATTTTGACAATGAGGTATGAGAGAATACAATGGAGGTATGAGAGAATACCTGCATTTTGAAAGGAAATTGTGCTTTGGACAGAATATTTTGAATATAGAAGTTTGGAAATGTTCCCATACTGTTTTTTAACTGAAAACAGTATAAATTTGTCACCTAGAAACTCAAATATATATACTTTTAAAACTCTGGAAATAGAGTTTTCCAGACTGTTCAGAAGTGTTCCAGAGTTTCAGTAGGTGTTGAACTTATTTGTTAAAATATAAAAGCTTGTATTAGCATGTAACAACTGACCAAGAGTCAGGGAGATGAAAATATACTAGTAAATCTCATCAAAAGTTTGTGCAATTGATAGATGAAAAAAAAAAGATCGTTTTACTTAGTAAGCCTGGCCACACAGCACTTACTCCTATATCCACATGTCATGAGCTTCTTTTTTCAGCAGTTGCAGATGTCAGATCACATTTCAGAAAGTCCAGGCTTAGAATCAGATTTTTGAGTCACTGTTATAAAATAGTAAATGGTTTCTTAATGAACCTCATTAAAGCACATCACTCTTGTTGCTATGAAATATTAAGAAATTTACAGGTGTATTTTAATACCTATCCTGACTTTCTAAAAATTAATTTGTTTTATGATACAGATAACACTTAAAACTTGCAAATAAATGTATGTGCTTATGTCAAATTTTTTTTATTTATAAGAGAGATCTGCAGATCAAAACAGTTTGGAGATTACTGCTCTAGACTTTTGTTAAACTCCTTGATCCAGTGAATAAACAACCACACCTAAACCTGAGCCTGAACTGTACTCCAGGAAGTGCTTAAGTTTCCAGGGGACCATGTATAGTTTGAGAAAACATCTAATACAACCATTTTTAAAATTTTGTGCTAGTCACCATATATTTTATTTTGACATTTCAAATAACATCAAAATAGGGAGTTTTTCTCCTTCTTATAAACAGGAGGTATGAGTTTTTAACAGACTTTGTTTTAACAAATAAAAAGAATATTGAGAAATACAGATCTAAAACTTCACAGGTTCAGTGATGGGTTTGGCTTTTTAAAAATTTCTTGACCTATAAGTGGCCATGATTAAAGTCCTATTTAAGGAACTCAGGAAGGGATTAATAATAGAGGTGGCAGGAGGTGAAGACCAGAGGAAGGGGCTCTGCAATTGGAATGTGATGGTAGTCTTTGATACTTACAAGTGGGATATAGTTTTTCATGTTATTTTTAATAACCTATTAAATATGTGTTGAACTGTTATTATTAAAAAGGATTTTAATGGTCTTAGAAATGAGAGTTTAGTGGTTTGGGGGGTTTTGGTTTTGGTTTGGTGGGGTACGGTGTTGGGGGTTGGGGGGGTTGTTTGTTTTTTGGTAAATAGTCCATAGGAATTGGCTTCATATTCATAATTCTAAGTTCTGTCTGGATAGTGTTCCACCAAAGAGGAAATACTACATTCGTTAAGTATTATTTAATAGTTCTGAATTCCTTTTACATTTAAAAAATTGCAGTACATGTCACTTATATATGGAATCTTAAAAATACAACAAACTAGTGAATATATTAAAAAAGAAACAGATTGACATATACAGAGAACAAACTAGTGGTTACCTGTGGGAATAGGGACGAGGAAAGCAGCCATATAGGAGTAGGGGACTAAAAGGTACAAACTATTATGTATAAAATAAGCTATAAGAATTTATTGTGCAACACAGAGAATATAGCCAATATTTATAACTGTAAATGGAATATAGCCTTTAAAAATTGTGACTCACTATTCTGTATACCTATAAATTACGTTGACAGCAGTCATACTTCAATTTTTTTTTTTAATTGCAGTCGTAGAGTATAAGTTAGTTCCTTTTGTGTGAATTAACAAATTGTTTCAGGTAAGAGGAATGGGAGACTCTGTTTTACTGGGAGCAATAGATGCATTGAGTTTGGGGGAAAAAGTTAAAGGCCATATATTTAAAAAGCAATGTTAATTTGTTTCATTTCAAAATTGTCCTGTGGGTGGTTTATGTAGCATGTTTTAAAATTGTTATTTTAATGACTTTCAACTTGTGGAAGAGTGTGCTTAAGTCATTATCCTTGAAAGAAGGTTGTTAAGAATGAGAGTTAAGCAAAAAAAGAATGATAGAGAAACTAAGGTTCTAAAAACATTAATGAGGGTAAACATTTGTCAGGTTATTCACTTTGAGTTCAATCTTGTTATCCCTTGAAATTCTGATTCTCTGCTAAGGCCTTTTTAAAGCTCCTCATCAGCTCTACATCTTTGAGAAAGTCTGTGCAGAGACTCTACTGAGTGAGCTAGTTGACAGCAGCTCCAGATGAGTGGGAAAGTGTTCTGGGTGCTCCTTTGGCAGTAACTATAGTGTTGTTACTCTACCATGAATCACGGGTCTATAGGACTATACTTGGTTTACTTTAAAATGTTTTAAGGGGCACATTACTTTATTGTAGATCTATTTTGTGAAACATTACTAGATTAAACAAACTTCATTTTAAAGTGAGTGTGTATCACAGAGCCCTCTGAATACGACTGCCTGCTCTCCAGAACCCTTAGGCTCGGACCACATACTTGATTTCTCAAGTTTCTCTTAAATGTGTTCGTTCTTACCGCCTTTGCCATAAATTTTGATAAGGTGCTATCCCACATAGACCCTTTTGCCTTGGTTAAATTTAATTCTCACTCCGACAGCAGCATGCTCACCTAGGTTAGGAGAGAGCAGGAGGCTCCTGCTGTTTAGCCTAGGGAAACTTGGCAGTGTAAATCTGACAGACTAGCTTACCTAAATGACTAAAGTTCTAGTCTAAAAATGGTCTGAAAATGCTTCTGGGTTGCTGCTTCTGACAAAATTGGTTTGAGATTGGAACCAGCAGGATTTTGATGCTAGTATGGACGTCTAAATTTGAGGTGTCAAGTGTTGACAATGGCTTCACTACCTCATAGCTTTGTGCCTTGGGTGATTTACTTAAATTCTTTGTGCCTCAGTTATTCCATCTATAAATTGGACATACTAATAGTACTTATCTAGCACCTAAAGTTAGTGTATTTTAGTGAGTACTGAGTAATGTAATATATGTATGTGCTTTAACATAGCATCTGCCACATAGTAAGTTCTCAGTAAATGCTAGTTGCTGTTATTATTATCCCACATAAAATATGTATTCACTCTACCTTTGTTCCTTCTCAATCCAAGCATACTTTCCATAAATACACAGTTCTTTACCTTGAAGTTTTGCTTAATAAAAATTGTGGATTGCCAGCTTTGAAACATGTCTGTATGTAGCAGAGGATTTCTTCCAGAATTGCTAGAAACAGCCATCTGGAACATGGTTGAAAGATCACCGATCTTATTTGTACAATTGTAAATATATTCAAAAGTATTTCCACATTAGTTAAAGGAAAATATTTGTACAGTAGACTGATAGCTAGATATTTAGTCACTTATTCTTTCCTTCATGTCAGAACTTTATTTGGTAGTTTTGTTCTAACTGTAAGAAAACAACTGACAAGTGATACTGATACATTCAGTGTTGATTATAAGAAGTCCTGAAAGAGAGTAGGCTGAATTTGGATACCACAAAAGTTTGGTTTTGACAAAAAAATTTTAAGTTCACTCTAGGATGGGGAAAAAAGGGAGAGGAAAGGGATGGTGTGATTGTCTCCCATAAAAACTGATTTTCTACTGAAGCATGTATAAGGTTGATACATGCCCTTTTGTATTTGATCTTTTCTTAAAATTCATAAAAATTTTATGGGAACTAAATTTGATTATCATGATAAAGTTCTTCTTTATTTTCAGATTTCAACTATTGCAGAAAGTGAAGATTCACAGGAGTCAGTGGATAGTGTAACCGATTCCCAAAAACGAAGAGAAATTCTTTCAAGGAGGCCTTCCTACAGGTATGGAATTGAATAGTTAAAAGAATTTAGGATCAGAAGTATAAAAGTGTACCCCTATGTAGTTACAGATGAAGAGATGTCAGAAGGCCAATTAGATGCTTGATTCAGGACCATACAAAGCATGTCTTTTCATCTTGAGTTGCTTCTCTCAAATAAGTTGAAGCTTGTCATACAGAATAAGAGCACTTCTTAATCTGAACATGTTGTGTCTGACTCTTCATGACCCCATCGACTGTAGCCCGCCAGTCTCCTCTGTCCATGGGATTTTCCAAGCAAGAATATTGGAATGTATAGCCATTTCCTTCTCCCAGGGATCCTCCTGACCCAGGGATCAAACCAGGTCTCCTGCATTGCAGGCAGATTCTTTACCATCTGAGCCACCAGGGACGCCTTACTCTGTACAGTCCTGGATAAAGACTGATTTTTTTTTTTTTTCTTCTGTTTTTGTAGACTGTGCTGGATGCTGCTTTTCTGTTTAAAAGATTCGAATACATTTGATAAGGTTATAGCATTTTCTGAATAAGTCAGTTCTGAGACTGTACCACGTAATTCATAACATATTTCTTATTCCATGGTACTTAGCATGATAACTGCTTGTTAATTTAATAGTTGCTTAGGGTGATGTTTGGTGATATTCCCTAAGTTTAGGGGCACCTTACTGCCGTTTTATGTTCAACTACAAAAGTTTCCTAATCCATACCTTGCTTCCAAGATGGACCAAAACTGTTTTTAGTACTACATAGAATTTGGAGCCATATTAAATATCTCCAGGAAGAGCAATTCCACAAATCTTTAAGCTTAATTCATAGTTTAATAAACTTCAAGCTTCTTCTTCCCTTCTTTAGCCTATGTTATTTCTATTTTTATATATATTCTATTTTTCAAAGGAATGTTACCATTTTTTTTTCCATTTTCTTGGCTACTAAGCTAGCCCTTTTCTCTATCCTCACAATTAAATTAGGGATCCTAAAGACATACCAGTAAATTGAGAATTAAGAATTCTGTGTTACCAAGTATGTGTTGTATTTATTTATACTCATAATTATCAAAATATAGCTAGTTTTATCTTTTAACTTTGAAATATATCTAGTGTTACTATGTAAGACATTTGATCCTGAAGCAAATTCAACTTGATACTAAGAAACAAGCTACATGGCTTCTCTATATAAGTACTAGGCAAACCCTAGCTGTAACCTTATGATACATGAGTTTTATGTTGGAAAAAAAATCTTTTTTTTTTTTTTTTGCCTTATTGGCACCACACATGTGTAGAGAAGGGTCTCTTCCCTTATAATCAAACCTCCAAAGTTGGAGAAATGGGAATTAAATAATACATGCTGGGTTTTTACTGGAACAGCCCAGCTTTATGGTGATCAGTTTTTACCCAGAGGAAGTCCTTGAAGAATTCTCACTTGGTTTCAGCTGGCTTAGTATTTTTATCAGTAATTGAGCTGAAAACATAAAAGCCATGTTTATCAGATTCACAAATAACAGAAACGTAAGGGCAAAGTACCCTAATAGATGTAGAATAAAAACCTTGAAAGATCATAGCAGCCAGGGGAAACAGAGTGAAACGAATAGGATGGAATGTTAAGGATAATGGTAACATTTCTGAACTTGAGTTTAGAATAAAATCAGTTATTCCCATACAGGATTCTGGATTAAGAATTCATCTAAAAAAGATAATGTTCTTTAATTATCACTGATTAAATGTGGTTTCCAAACAAAGCCAATATACCATAAGACTGTATCGGTTTAAAAGGAAAAAATAACCTAGTGTCTAGATTAAAGGGAAAGTCGCCCAGTCGTGTCCAGCTCTTTTACCCCATGGACTATACTGTCCATGGAATTCTTCAGACCAGAATACTGGAGTGGGAGCTGTTCCCTTCTCCGGGGGATCTTCCCAAACCAGTGATTGAGCCCAGGTCTCCCATATTGCAGGTGGATTCTTTTCCAGCTGACCCACCAGGGAAGCATTTTTGCCATGCAAAAGGGTTTTTTTCCCTGTAGTCAATTTTTCTATTCATCTCTTCTTTAATTGCACCTAGATTTTGAATCAGTCTTTTTTTAGGTTCACTGTAAGGAGAAATTCATCTGTGTTGTTTTACTTTTCATATGGTTTTGACATGTAGATGCCCTGATTCATTTTTAGTTTAATGTTACAAATTTTATTGTTTATTATTGTAAGTTTTTACATTTTAAACTATAAAATTTTTAAATTCTCTCCTAAGCGCTGTCAACTTTCTGTCAGTTTTCTGATCTTTTCCTCTTCTTTTGTATTTGGCCAGTAAATGTTACATTTATTTTAACTGATACAGTTCTCTATTTTTCTAGGAAAATTTTGAATGACTTATCTTCTGATGCACCAGGAGTGCCAAGGATTGAAGAAGAGAAATCTGAAGAGGAGACTTCAGCACCTGCCATCACCACTGTCACGGTGCCAACTCCGATTTACCAAACTAGCAGTGGACAGTATAGTGAGTAATTGGTATTTCTGTTGTGGAAAATGAGATGAAAACTAATGGCTGCATTCTCCTCAAAGTAATCATATAAAATCAGTCTGCGCTTTGCTAAATCTTGATTGTCACTGTTATATTTCCTTTACTTATATGCAAAGTTTTGTAACAGAAGTATTTGCTTTTCTTCAGGGTTTAGTTAGGATTGCCCAGGTATGTAAGACCTTTAAGTGGCGTGCATGTTCTGGTGCATGGAAAGTCTCAGAAGATTTTCAAACCACTACATAAAAATGTATTTCAGTCCTCATATAACATATTATGTTAATAGAAAACATGAGTTTTTCAGATAATTATTCTTTGATTATGTTTAAGGCCAATTTTTGTCTCACAGAAAGCAAAGATTTCTTTTGAAAAATTATCAAAGTTCCCATTTCTCTGATGTCTCTGATACTTGGGTCTCTCTTCTTATCTTTCATCTCAATCTGTTATAAAAGTACTTTTTGAGTTCTACCTTTGTTTGATCAAAGGCATTTGTGTGAATGGTACCTTTTTCCTCTCTTTTTTCCCCAATATCTTTTTGCCTTCCACACTGTCTCACACATTGATGTCTTCATTTTTATTTGTTTATTAAATACAATGCTGCCCACTATATAGTTGCCCTCCCTGTCTTCCTTAATAAGACATCAAATGTACACATCGAAACTCTTTTACTACATTGGTTTTCTAATGTCTTGAGGTAGTTTGTGTCAGAAATATGTATAAAAGTTTGACTCCCAAGTTCATAATTTTCCAGTTATACCTTGGCATTGGTTTGCATAACTAATTTGCATTCCAGCCATATTAAAAACAAGTAGCAGAATTTTTAGCTGTACCAAAGCTGAAACTTTTAATAGTAAGTAGAAGGCAGGCATTTTTGACTAAGCTTCTTGTCCATTTAGTAAGCTTATTAGAGTTCACTTATCCTCTTCCTTCTTCGTTGGCAGAAATAGGTGTATGTGTGTATTTTTTATCAAAATAAATTTGAACTATTCAAGGTATGTGTTCTAACACATTGATACATGAACTTTATTTTTCTCCAACTTCAGTACACTGGAGGAATACAGCATAGTCCTGTTAGTAACGAGGTTCATTTACCACAGCAGTTCTCATTTGCACTAGAAATAGAAGGCCTGCTCTCCAGACAGAGGCATGTCAGAGTCTCAGACAGGGAAGTGAAGTGGGGGGAGGCAAAGCTCAGAGAGACAGATGCTTCGTTTGGCACGGCCCTTCCATCCAGCAGCTGAGCAGCTGCTTGTTTTAAAGGTTGATGCTTTGAGATTTTAAAGGCTTTATGCACTACTGTTTATGCCTTATTCTCTCTGTATATGCATATATGAGGCTTTGAGGGAACTGATTTAACATTATGTTCTTGATTGTTATTAACAATCAATATAATGACCACTTAATGTAATAATATTATATATTTCTTATAAAACAAGTATATGGCTGGGAAAATTCAAATGGTAGAGGTTTATAGTATTAATAAAAAGTAAAGACCCTTCCTACCCCTCCCCAGTAGTAAGAGTTTGGTGGTATATATCCTTCATTCTTTTTCATTCTGTTTATGCATACACATGTAAAATGTATTTTTAATAGCTACATTGTGTTTCACTGTATACATATAACATTTATTTAAAAATCGCATACACTGATTAATATTTAGGACTTTTCTACTGTTTCAAAGAATGCTACATAAACATTCTTTTAGTATATAGTGTCCCATCCTGTCAGTGGGGTGGCATCTGATGAGTGGAACTGTTGAATCCTAGTCAGCCTGCCCAGTTACCCTTCCCAGTGACTACATCAATTTGTAGTCAGTAAATTGGTTGTGTTTTTTTTATTAACACTAGTATTAGTTTTGTCCATTACGTGGTTCACAATCCCTGATAATAAGTGTTGAAAGATGTTATTCTTAGGTATAAAAAAATGTCTCACTAAATAAAACTGTTTTTCTCATCATTTTGGCTACTCAAACTCTCAGCTAAGTTTGTTTAATTATATTCTTTCCTTATTTTTTGATAGAATCATTATGTATATCTAAATATACATCTAAATACACATTAGTAACTTCTTTTTCTTCTTGTTTTAGTTTAGGTTTTTTTGAGAGCAATCTTAAGTCCTTTTAAAATATGACATGTAGAAATATTAAGAGAAAAACAATGTTTGATAGGATCAGACTTCAGTTTTCAGAGTACTTTCCTATATAATCATGGACTCATTTGAGTTTTATAACAACTATACTTACGGGCTAGAACCAGATATTGTTATTTTTACAGAAGAGATAACAGATTCAAATAACAGTTTAGTGATGGAACTTGGACTAAACCCAAATCTCCTGATTTCTAGTTTCCTTCTTTCCACCTTGAGTTCATTGGTATATAGTCAAGAAGAAAGCTGTGTGTGTTGAATACAGTGGAATTTGCTCATTAACTCTAATTGAGAAATTGTGGTTTGATTCTGTTAACCTTCTGATTCTTTCAAGTTATCCAGCAGTGTTAATCTCAGAATACTTTTTACATATTTCTTTTTTCCCGCTTGTCTAAGATAAGTAAAATTTATGGAATTAGCTAAAGTGGATGGATTGTATATGCCAGTATCTGAATTTTCACTGGTATTATTTACTAAACTAAATCATAGCCATTAACAGTTATTATTTCTTGATTAAACAGTAAATATAATTTTTAATACACAGATGACTCGGGATATTAGTCATGCAGAGCTAGCTGACAGTTGATCGCAAACTATCAGTAATTTCCTTCTAAGAGACACACAGTAACATGCTCAAGTCAGACATGTTGACTGTTAAAATCCATTATGCAGTTTTATATATAATATTGTGATTTTTTTAGTCTTTCTCTTTCTGGAATACTTGAACTCTTAACAGGGAAAAGTGTCTTATTGACTTTTTCCATGTACCAAAGGTTAATTCAGTTTTTTAAATAAAGTGAAATGTCTTGTATGAGCCAAAATTTACTTCCTTTGGAGCAAATGAATGACACATATGAATAATCAATGGATTCTACATGAGAAGGCTTGAATATGTAACTTAGAAATAGCAATAAGATACTTTTTTCTAAATGATCATCTTGGGCTCCAGTTTTAAACTCTATGAGAGGTTTGTGATAATTAAGTTCCATAGGACATTTTAGTTGTCTCATTGAGTGGATTTCTGTTATACTTTATGTATTGCTAACTAAGAGAACAGAATGCACTACTGACTGCTTTATTAATTATGCATTAACATAATCATTTATTGGGTGCCTATTACATACCCATGTCTGCACTAATAAGTACATGAATGTAGAGAAGAAATATAGTACATAGTTAATGCCAGAATAAAGGAAGTGGGTCACAGAGTGGTGCTTCTTCTCAACCAAGTAACTACAGATGGAATTTAGCATTTTCTCATTCTATTTTTTTAATTAACTGACATTATTATAAATTATAATGTGGTTCATAGAGTATACTTGTATTCTAGAAATTGGATATAAGTTTTCTTGAGCAGAAAGTTACTTGACTATACAGAATCTTTTGGTTATGTTATCTGCTGTAATAATTTCTCCTAGATATGTCTTGCAAATTATTCTTTGAATTTAGTGTGTGTATGTCTTATATGGTATTAATTAAACTTGTAACAATAAAATCTGTTGGATTTTAGTTGCCATTACCCAGGGAGGAGCAATACAGCTGGCTAACAATGGTACTGATGGGGTACAGGGCCTGCAGACATTAACCATGACCAATGCAGCTGCCACTCAGCCAGGCACTACCATCCTGCAGTATGCACAGACCACTGATGGACAGCAAATCCTAGTGCCCAGCAACCAAGTTGTTGTTCAAGGTAAGAGAATTCAGAACTCACAGGTGTGGTAAATTCTTTAAAAGGTTAAAATTTTATAGACTCAGAAAAAAGTAAGTATGGTATTGCAAAGCACTGTTAAAATACAGCTTATTTTCTGCATCATAGATAATATTTTCCATAAACTCTTCTTCCGTTATTCCAACTGAACCAAAATATCATGGCATAAAAACAACTACTTTCAGTTTTAAAAATATAACTTCTATATTTAACACCTTTAACATTTGGATGTAGGAGAAATGGGTAGGCTAGAGGGAAAGACAATAAAGGAAAGGGAGTTTAAAAAGCTTGTTTCTAAATCTAAATATATAGATTTGCTTTGTGACTTTGAGCAAGAGCCAGCGTCCCCTAACCTTTTTTTTTTTTTTTTTCAATGTGTCAAATGAAAAGTTGTACTAAATCACTGATAAGAATCTTTGGAGGTTCAAATTCTGTTTCTCTGCTTTTAGTCAGAAGTAGTTTATATGTTCATTTCTATGGTCATCATTTTTTATTTCAAAGGAAAGCATTATGTTCTGAAAAATCTTTTGCCAGTGTGCAAGTCCACTGCTCTACAAGCAAGAGTAGTTAAATCCATGGTGAATTACAAAAATTCAAAAATTACAAAAATTTTTTCTTTTTTGTTTTGTTTTCTTGTTGTTTTCTTCCTGTTTGTTTCAGAAATATTTATGAATAGTGGATCATTTTTATTTGAATTCATTGCATATTTTAAGAATGATTTATGCCAGATTTTAAAATTTGCATATTAAGGAAATAATAAATCTGTTTCTAAAAATATTTTCATTAATAGTATGTTTTGTCTCTATTAGGTAATGACAGATATGCCCCTTCACCATGGATGATTAATTTTCTATAATTCTAAAATCAGCTAAAGAATCAGTTTATTTAAAGGGCCCTAATGTACTTACAGAATATTTTGTTACTAAACAAATAATATTTGAAGAAGATAATATTTTGCTTATTAATGGGGGTTAAACCTTTTCACTTTACATGCAGGTACTCAAAAATTATAAAGCAGGATGTCAGTGAATTTGAATTCTGAACATTAGTTTGAAGATGGTAACACATTTAGTATATACATCTTTTCCACTCAAACTACACATTTTAATTGATATTAATAACAAATATGGATAGTTTTTAAAGAGTTACAAATTCTCTCAGATAATGTTAGGTTTCTTATTCCTAGGAGGGTATATTTATTATTAGGTTGTTTTTAGAAAGAGACTTTTTTATTTCACAAATGATGGATCATTTAATTATAAAAATAAAACTTCAGTTTATTTAGCCATTACCATTTACATTAAAACAGTGCTTACAGGTAATATAATTGGTATCAAGTGATACACTTTTTCATCCTTTCAGTTTTATTACAATTAGGAATTTATAATAGTTGACTATAATGCTTTATTTTCTCTTACATTTTGCTATTTTATGAAAAGTCATGGTTGTTTTTATGTCGTGGCAAGAGTCTACTTGAAATTTTTTAACATGAATTTACCAATATCAAAGGAAGACATTGAGGACTATACTCTGTCTAGGAAGATCATCCAAGCTGTGCCCTACTTACCTTTTAGATTTAAGGTTGGTAAACACGTTAAGAACAGAACAGAACTACGTTCCAATGAAAGATAAATGTAAGATCCAGCAGACATAAGTCATGAAGACCCTTTTTCATCCAAGTACCTATACTAATAAATACACTAAATTGAAATTATTTCTGAGTAATGAATGACCCAAAGAGTGCTGCTGATTCTCAACATTTTAGTCAGAATCATCTGTTGCTTTTTTTCCTTTTGTATGTTCAGATTGATGATTAACCCATAGTTTTACCAAGTCACAGTACTTCAGTGTCTCACAGCATGCTCACTCTTTCTCCTTTCAGCTGCCTCTGGAGATGTACAGACATACCAGATTCGCACAGCACCCACTAGCACCATTGCCCCTGGAGTTGTCATGGCGTCTTCCCCAGCACTTCCTACACAGCCTGCTGAAGAAGCGGCACGGAAGAGAGAGGTTCGCCTCATGAAGAACAGGTACATTTACTTAGATTGTTGTAGGTCAAGTATAACTTCAGATTCTGCCAGATGTATGTCAATAGGATCTTTGCATTGGGATTTTTTTTCTCTGGTAAAATTGATGGATCCTGCTAAAACTTCTCTATTTAATAAGTTGCACTTAATGAGATGGCTAATGGTTAGTCTTTGATGATGAATAGTTTTCTTTCATGCACTTTCTCCATGAGAGAGAGAAGGCACAGCTTTGCTATATTTTCACTATTGCTTCAGCCAGCTGACTCAGTTATTTAAAAATTGTTTCTTGTCACGAGTAGTATCAAGAAAATTAATAGTTGTGTGTGTGTGTGTGTGTGTGTGTGTGTGTGTATAAATGGTAAGCTTTATTTACATTAAATGTATTTGTAATAAGATAAATGTATGACGACTAGTCCAAGTTTTAATGCATATTAAACACCTAAATAAAGATTTTTCAAAAAAGATTAATTCTGAAAATATCTTATTATTGACAAAAATCTTAAAATCGAGCTAGTCTTCAATAGTGAACATGCTAGAGGTCAAAAATTTATTAAACATGGGAAAGTTATTTTCATAAAGTAAATTCATAGCTATAATTAGCTTTGTCATTAAAAAACAAAAGCAGATAAAAAAATTTATTTACTTGTATTTACCTTAGTATTTTTATGTATTTAGCTTAGGATTTAAATATTTACCTTAAGATATGGAAGTTACCTAAGACAAACCAAAGAAAAGGAAAATAAAGATATTAAAAGTTTGAAACATTGAAAATATTCCTCTGCCTTTCACCCCAAGATTCTTCACATGCTGTGATGAAGTGAAGGAAACATGAAAGTTGAATTTAGAGGCTCTAGATTCAAATCTTGGATCTACCCCTTTTGCTGTGACTTTAGAACATAACCTCCTAAACCTCAGTTTTCTGGCGTTTTTACAAAGGATCTGTTGTAAAATAGCATCCCACTACCCACCCAGAGGGTTGTTCTGTGGGTCAAATAAGATAATTCCTTTGAAAGCACTTTGTAACTGCAGTCCTTTATTGAAACATCTGTTTTTCTGCAATTTCATTTTTCAACTCAGATCAGCCTCTTTCATTCCTAAAATATTCTTAGCTATTACAGAATGTTAGTAAATTACATCTAGACTATGAGAAATGGCACAGTTTTTTCCCAGGTTATTAGGTAAAGAGTTGGAAACAAGCTGGGTAGCTTATTTGTGCTCCATCAATCTGTGATTTTCTGTAAGTATTTAAGTTAGAATAATGAGCAGAAACATAAAAGCTGTGTCCATATTTAAATGTATTTAAAAATATAAACTCTGTTTAAACTTTTTCAGTTTTAAATGTTTGTAAGGAAATGTTTGACCCTTTTTAAAATTAGAAGCAAGTATGCTTAGAAGTCTCAAGTAAAGGCTAGGTTAAAAATTTTAAGATAACAGTACTTACTAAAGAAACCAGTTCTCAACAGACACAGCAGTCAGGTAAAAAATAAATCTCTTGATTATGAAAACATCAGAAGGACTTCAGATTGTGGCTCTGTAGTCTGGCTCTGTAGAACAGAAACACTTAAGAACTAGGTAAGGAGGCAGCACTAGGGCTTCTTGTCTGCTCTGGTGTACAGAGAGCGACCTGGCCATTTATAAAAGCAAATTAATTTGACTGGCATACCAAATTTTCCTTTTTCTCTATTCATTTGATTTATGATTTCACACACACACACCCAGGCTGGGAACAGGGCACACAGAGCTACAGCCCCTAACAGCCTCTGCTTGCCTGAGATACTCAGGGAAGCTACCTAACTTTAATAAGCTCTTTAATAAAATACTTTGGCTTGGATTTAGAAGCTACCTAACTTTAATAAGCTCTTTAATAAAATACTTTGGCTTGGATTTAATTTCACTCTAAGGAAACTTCCCATTGACTGCTATAGCTCCCTTTTCCCTTTATTCCCAGATTCCTGCTGCTTCTACTTTTTCAACTTTCATCCATTAGAATTTGCCTTCTGTGCCCACCATACCATTGTAATGTCTACAAAAACGTAGATAACCTTCCATTTGGCACATCTAGTATTCTCTTTTCATTTCATTTTACCTTTATGGGAGTATTTGACACTTCTAACTGCTCATTTCTCTAAACTCTTCTTTGGCTTAGTCACCTGGTTTTCTGCCAACTTTTCAAATTTCCCCTTGAAACTTTTCATGCCTACCTGTATTTCAGGCATCACCTTAATGTTGATACAGCTTAATTACATACTGGTTTTGACCTCTCCCCTGAGATATTATTTATTTAGGTACCAGTATATGTTAGAACTTTGTTTCTTTATATATTTCATTAGTTCTGCCCACAGTAAGAAAGAAGCTTATCTCCACTTTACAGTAAGCAGGTAAATATTTCGCCAGAGGTCACACCTTTTAAGAAATGGGTAGAACTGGGATATAAGCCTGGATCTAGCACCAGAGCATGTGCACATGCTACCTCTCAGGTTCCAGCATGCAACTGTCATCGCTTGCTCTGCCACTCAAACTGGAACACGTGGTGGCAGTGTGCTGGAGATGTGTAGGGCCACGCAGCAAACATGGGAGCTTTCCTTGAATATTTATTTTGCTCAAAAATTTGACAGAAACAAACATTTTAAAGGTAAAACTAAAGATTCAAAACTAAAGGTAAAACTGAATTCATACCAACAGTAGTTGCTTTGGACTGGGCCCCCATCCTTAGTTTTCTCTGGTATTATGGTTACTTAGGTGGAAAAGTGAGAGTAATCAGTCTTCTCCTGAACATACTCACTAGGATAGGTGCCCCTTATGCACCTCACACAAAGGCTGTCCTCTAAACTTGGATAAGGAAAAGTTGTGATGCCTCAAATTCTGTAACATTCAAATTGCCATATACTCAAAGATAAAGTGGTAAATGTTCTAAAAGTATAGATGGTTACATTAATTGTGTTGCTACAGTAACAAAAAATCAGTGTCTAAGAAACAAAAATCTCTTCCTCACTTACATTTTGGCAGCTGCAAGTCATATGCTATGGCTTTCCTCCACATGCTCCCAGCCAAAGGAGAAGCATCTCTTTGAGGCCTGTCCTTGTAGCAAAGGGAAAGCGGCAGAGCTTTTTGAAGCATCTGCTTGATTGTGGACATCACGTCCACTCGAGTACCACTGGCGAGGAAGCAGGTGAGGACAAGCCCAGCGTCAGTGAGGTGGGGATGTATGCTCTTCCCACAGGGAGGGGGGAGTGAAAAAGTATGGAAGCAATGCAACCCATCTTGTAATTTTAGAATGCAGGAAGAATTTAAGAGGTTTCATAAAAGTAGAAGTCATAAAGAAAAAGGTTAAGTAGGTATGACAACACCTATGATTAGCCAAGGAAAAGATAAAATAGCAAAGCAAACAAACTAGAAACCTTTTAACAAATAAAGTCAGAAGATTGATAAGTTAAGGGTATGTAATAGGTAGATTTAAAGACAATGAATTAGAAATAGGGTTAAAAAAAATCAGAAATTCAAACCAAGTAAAATGTATGCTATGTCACTGAAGGTACATCCATTCAGCTTCCATGGTAGCTCATCTGGTAAAGAATCTGCCTGCAAAGCAGGAGGCCCTGGTTCAATTTCTGGGTCAGGAAAATCCCCTGGAGAAGGGATAGACTACCCACTCCAGTATTCTTGGGCTCAGACTGTAAAGAATCCATCCGCAGTGCCGGAGTCCTGGGTTCAGTCACTGGGTTTGGAAGATCCCCTGGAGAAGGGAACAGCTATTCACTCCAGTATTCTTGCCTGGAGAATTCCATGGACAGAGCAGCCTGGCAGGCTGCAGACCATGGGGCTGCAAATAGTCAGACACGACTGAGTGACTTTCACTTTTTCATTCAACTATAAAAACCAACCATTAATAATGAAGATTTGTTTTTATTGAGATGGGAAGATGCTCATAGTGGAAAAGAGCAGGTTACCTATATATATATTACAATCCCATTTTTATTTATTTTTATTACAAAAGATAAACATGCTCATTATTAAGCATATTAGAAAACATAAGCTAAAATATTTACTCACCACTAATGTGCCACCCAAAATGTTAACATTCTGGAGTATAATTTTTTCCCCTAGTATATATGTGCAATGATAAATAACATATTTTTAGTATAGTTTTTAACTTTTTATTTTGAAATAATTTTAGCTTATGGGAACAGTTAGAAACATTTTAGTATAGAGTTCTAGATATCCTATCAACCTTCTCAGCCTTCTTAGACTTTTAGCATATTCTATAACCAGTCTGTGTTTCTTAAAACTAAAGAAATTAACATTCTGTTATATACTATGGATAGTAATTAACATAGTATTTTTGGACTTCCCTGGTGGCTATTCTTGCCCGGAAAATCCCATGGACAGAGGAGCCTGGCGAGCTACAGTCCATGGGGTCGCAAAGAGTCAGACATGACTGAGTGACTTCACTTGCTTTCTTTTTTATCATGGTATATAATACCACTAAGTGAACTATCCGTTTTATTTGAATTTCCTCAGTTACTCCACTTTGCTCTACCAAAATCCAGTCCGGGTTACTACATTGCATTTACTCACTGTGGCTCCTCATCTCCTCCAGTCTGTGACAGTTTTTTCTTTGTCTTTTGTGGCCTTGCCACTTTTGAAGAGTAATAATTAAGTTTCTTTCAGAATATCCCTCACTTTGGACCTGTGTGATGTCTTCTTATGATCAGGTGAAGGTAATGAATTTGGGGGAAGAATCCCACAGAGGTGTAGTCTGCCCCTTCTCGTCACTTGTCAGGAAGCACTTACTAGCATGATTCATTCCTGACGGTGTTCACTTTGATCACGTGGTTAAAGTGCTGTCCAGCTGCTCCACTCAATCTGTTTTTCTCTTCACACCCTATTCCTTACAAACAAGTTACTACATTCAGCCCACACTGAAATGGAGGATTACTAAATGCCACCTCCTGGAACTGAGAGTATCAAAGAATTTGTGGTTTTAGGTGAAAACTAACACAGTAATTGGTGTAATTTCACAAAGATACTTGGAGACTGTGCAAATATCTTATTTCTCTTTCAGGTATTCCCCACTAATTTTAGTATTCACAGGGGGGTCTTTCCTGCCGTGATTATTATTCCCCATTCCTTCTGCAATTATTAACTGGAATTCTTTAAGGAAAAGCTGTCCCTTCCCCATGTATTTATTATTTATATCAGTATGAATTTACAGATATTTACCTTATTCTTTGGGCTGAAATTCAGTATTACTTAATTACGATATTGTTAAGATTATTCCAGCTTTGGCCATTAGGAGTTCTTATAAGTTGGTCCCTGTGTCCTTTAGATGGCATCTTAATTTTCTTGAAGCACATCTTTATTTTCTGACACTACATTATCCGGGTTCAACTTCTCATCTTATGGTTTTCTCTACCTTAGCTTTGAAATCAGCCATTTCTTCAGTGAGCCCTAGTTTCTTTCATTGGAAAATGGTTTACTTTGACCACTTGGTTAAAGTGCTGTCCAACTGTCCCTCCATTACAGTTATTTTTCTCTTTTTATAAATTTTTCAAAGTGCTCTTTGCTACTGAGGTTTCACAGGCCCTCTTAAAGGACAGAGCTAATAAATAAATACGTGTGTGTGTGTATACACACTAGCTCATGTATGCACACGTCTATAGTTCTATGTATTATAACTCACCCCACTGACTAATCTGTAACCACAGGGCTTATTTTAGCCTTCCCTTTCCCCTTTGCTTATTTGTAACTTCGTTCTCTGACAGAAACTTGGCTTCCCAATAAAGCAGGTTTATTTATGTATTTCTTAAACGCTAGTATCATATAAAATAGTTTTATAATTGCTAACTTATACCCCTGTCAGAAACAAATTTACAATACAACATTTATGTACAATTCTTTTTTTTTTTTTTTTTGCTTATAACCTTAAAGTACTAGTGAAGGCACTGTTTTCAGAGTTACTTAGCTGTGCTTCTTTTTTCTCCACTCCTTTCAGTGAGGTGGGTGGTGGTGGTATTTTAATTGCTAAATTATGTCCGACTCTTTGTGACCCCACGGACTGTAGCCCACCGGGATCCTCTGTCCATGGTATTTCCCAGGCAAGGATACTGGAGTGGGTTGCCATTTCCTCTTCCAGAGGATCTTCCCGACCCAGGGATCAAACCTGCGTCTCTTGCTTCACAGGTTCTTTACCCCTGAGCCACCTGGGAAGCCCTCAGTGAGGTTATGTCATACATTTACAGTAAAGTTAATTTGTCAACATGTTCATTCAATTCTGGGATTACCTGACGTTTTGTTTTCTGTTTTTAAATTTTGTGCTGTATGGTTCTATGGCGTCTGACAGACATGTCTGCCACCACAATGCAGTACAGTACATTTATACCATTTTAAAAAGAATTCCTGGTGGTAACTCTTGGTGGTCAGCCTCTACCCCTTTCCCCAGCTCCTGGAAACCACTGAACTGTTTTCCATCTTCTGTGTTTTCCACAATCTCCTATAAATGTAACCTTTTGGATCTGATTTCTCTCACTTAGCACAACATATTCAAGATTCATTGTTAGTGGTGTATGAATCAAGCAGTTCGTTTTATCCTTGGTATTCTATGGATGTGGTTTATCCATTCACCTTAAAGTTTATGTTCATTTCTAGTTTTGAAGGATTATGAATAAAGTTACAATGAACAGTTAGATACAGGTTTTTATATGAACTTTCAGTTCACTTGAGTAAATATCTAGGAGTGGCCTGGATGGATGGAATGGTAAGTATATATTTAATTTTATAAGAAACTGCCAAACTGTTTTCAGAGTGGCTATACCATTTGCCTTTCTACCAGCAATGTATGAAAGTTCCAAGTGCTCTGTATCAAGTGTTATAACTATATTTCACATTTAGGTCTCTGATCCCTTTTGAATTAATTTTTATAAGGTGTGAAGTGTGTTCAGGTTCATCTTTCTGTATCAACTGTTTATTCTAGCACCATTTGTTAAAAAAGATTTTTCTTTCTTTGTGGAATTGCCCTTGTACTTTTGTCAAAATGTACTTGACCATATTTGTATAGGCTTGTTTCTGGGGTGTCTGGCTTACTCCATTGCTTTGTGTATCTGCCCTTTTGCCCATCCAGTCCACTGGGAGAATCTTTTCATTCTCTTCTGTTCTTAAAAATACTCAGAAATTTTTGAGATGCCTTAAGAGTCACTCCCCAAGCTGAAGAGTTCTTTAAATTTTTTATTTAAAGCTCATTTGAATTTTATATTCTACTCCAGATTACAGTAATTTTTATTTTCATGTGAGAACACTTGCTACCCTTCTGCCCCATCAATTAAAATTGGTGCTTCAGAACAGTTCTTTTTTTTTTTTAATCAGTTTTCTATGGTATGTTGAAAATTTTACATTAGGCAATTTCCAAGTCATTCTCTTTATTTTTTTCAAGTGCCTAATCTATAATATGTTAAAATGTTTGTTGCTTTGAGCCAGATTTTTTTTAATGTATTCTATCTAACACAAAATAAAGAATGCAGAAATGTTGCGTAATTTTTCCTGTCTTTTGCTTATAGGGAAGCAGCACGAGAGTGTCGTAGAAAGAAGAAAGAATATGTGAAATGTCTAGAAAACAGAGTGGCAGTGCTTGAAAATCAAAACAAGACACTGATTGAGGAGCTAAAAGCACTTAAGGACCTTTACTGCCACAAATCAGATTAATTTGGAATTTAAATTTTCACCTATTACGGTGGGAAAAGGACTGGCTTGGCCACAACCAGAAAGACAAACATTTTATTTTCTAAACATTTCTTTTTTTCTATGCGCAAAACTGCCTGAAAGCAACTACAGAATTTCATTCATTTGTGCTTTTGCATTAAACTGTGAATGCTCCAACACCTGCCTCCACTTCTCCCCTCAAGAAATTTTCAGCACCAGGAATCATGAAGAGACTTCTGCTTTTTATCCCCTGCCCTCTTCAAGAAGTAATAATTTGTTTACTTGTAAATTGATGGGGGAAATGAGGAAAAGAAAATCTTTTTTTAAATGATTTCAAGGTTTGTGCTGAGCTCCTTGATTGCCTTAGGGACAGAACTACCCCAGCTTCTTGAGTTGACGTAATGTTTGGGCCGCATGCTTAAAGTAAGTAAGGTGCAATGAAGAAGTGTTGATTGCCAAACTGACATGTTTTCCCATTTCCATTGTGAATTATGTAAAATCATGAAAGAGACATACCCGCTGAGAAAAAAATTTAACGATGGTGTTGAAGAAATTAAGAATGAATTCAGAGTGCTTTCTATGTACATTCTCTTCAATACTGAATATTTGTCCTTGGTTCTTAAAAATACTCTGTATTAACCATAGCTCTTCGATAGGGCAGTTGTTGCTTCTTAATTCAGTTCTGTGTGTGTTCAGCATTTATGAATACATTAAAAGAAGTAACCAACTGAATGAAAAAGCATGGTATTTGATTTTAAATTAAATCAAAGTAAGTAAAATTACAAAGCTTCAGTGTAGTACTAAATTTTTAGTACAAAGATGCTCATTAGTAAACCAGTTCCTTGAGTTATATAACAAGGTTTTTAAATAGATGTTTTTGTCATCACCTTCAAACCTATTTATATTGTCACACATTTACTTAAAAGGGTTTTTCTAATTAAACTGCTCCCCTTTGCACTTATACCACCAACAGGAAAGCCTTCAAGATGTTGAAGTAAAGTGATATATTTGTTTATAAAATGTTACACGTTGTAGAAAAATACTGATTTTAAATTGTTTCCATATTAACATACTTTAACAGTTTAGTGAATTTTTTAATGAAAGAAGTTACAAGGATATAGTTTAAAAGTACAATATTAGATATACACAAGGAAAATAATTTTTTTCAGACTTATTTGAATGACTGCTGTACTACAATATTTGAATTGTCATTCTTGCAAGACCTTTTTTGTTGTTTTCTTCCAAAAGGGATAGGGATGCTTAGCTTTCCAATATGTTGTATATCCTTTGTTATTCTGTAAAGGAGCTACCTGGTTTAACTCCTGACTAGAACCATCTGTATTTGTATGTATCACACATTGTTTCCAATATGACTTAATTTTAATACTCATTTTATTCACTAAGTCGATAAATTTAAAAGCTACCCTTTAAAAAAAAATAAGACTGAAATAGATTTGAAAAATTTGAAATTGACATGTTAGATTATAATTTCTCATTTGAGAAGGTTTTTTTTTTAAGAGAGTCTAGGATTTAATGTTTTATATTTAGTTATGGGTTTTTAAAAGTTTGTTAATGTGTTAACAAAATATGCAGATGTGGATATTAATTACTGAGTCCATTTTGAAAAGTAAGACTTTTAATTAATATTTGTAAATGGTATTTTTTGTTTGTAACAAAGCATTGTCTTTTTTTAAGGATGCACAGAGTTTATGAAGCAGCATCATTCTAAGAATTGAGTGATGTAGTCTTATCTTTGGACAGTTCACCAGATTCTCAAGAAGGCTTTCAAACGACTGTAAATTTTGTTGTTTATCCTGCTGAGCTAACGGTGAAAGTTATAGCATCAAAATTATTTGTATACCAACTTAGATATACCTTTTTCTAAAACTGGTTTGATAGAAACCAAGCAAAATCAAAAATCTGTTCATAAACCAGAATTCTTAAATGAGTCAGAATGTCAAAACTGAACATTTTAAGTCATAAGCTTTAGAAATGAAAATTGCTTAATATTTAGCAAATTAAATGTTTTCAGAAATAAGGCTTTCTGTTTAATTAGAAAGTTGGTGGTCTCTTAGTCCCTGATAAATCAAGGCAATCACATCCATATTAGCTGGTTGGATTTATAAATTACTTTGAGGATGACTGCTCTGGTTTGAAGTCAGTTAATGATGAGGTAAGAAGTATATATTCTGTTGCTAAATCTGTTTAGACCTTGGAGAGACTTGAAGATTTTCGTTTATACAGGTAGAAATTAAGCATCTTTTGTGAAGACTTTTTTTTTTAAGAGAATTGGGAAAATGTGTTTGTTTTTAAGCATGCAACTTTGAGAATCTTTGTTAACAACCTAATTTTTAAAAATCTTACAGCCAAGAATATATGTGGCCACATTATAAATGTTTTTTCTCTTCATATTGGCCAAAAGGGAATAAAAATGTCATCATAGGAATCTGTACATATGCTACTGATTTGCCTAGAAAATAGCAAGTTTGGTATTGCTCACTTTGCAAATATAGGGCCATGTGGCACTTTTATCTATAGGACAGATTAACTCTAATAAAAATGAAGTGGGAGGGGTTTATTTTTGATATATTGCTCTTATGAGTTTTTAGGCTTTGATAGTGTTTAACGGAAAAGTGGTTTAGAAAGGGCTAGATCCAATGTGTTCACATTATTAAAAAGAATTGACACCAGGTGTAATTTTTAAGTTCATTCTTTTTCAAATTCAAGTACCATATTGGCAACCATAATATTGTCATAGGTGCTCTATTCATTTAGATATTCTTGGGGGGATGGCATTTGTATAATACATGTGTACATATATATATACATACAGTATATATCTGAGGCTCTGAGAGCTCTTAAGTCAGGAATGCTGAGTATTATAGTATATTGAGGTCAGATGAAATTTTACATTTTTGCGTGATCTGTTGCATCCCTTTTGGTAATTTCTTGGACTGCATTACTCCAGCACTCATGATTGATTTTTTTATCTGCTGATTTTCTTTTTTTAATTGTTAATTTTCTTTGACTTGATACTTTTAAACATGTTACTAGTCACTTGAACCACCACCACAACCACCACCACCCCCAAAAGTGTTTGGTTTTTATGCTTTGTCTCCGGCAGCTATAACAGTGGTAAGAAAATTTTGAAGATAGCTTCTAAAAGGTACCACTGATTTTTTTCAGAAATGATCCTGGGGGAAAATTTTTGGTGTTTTCATTTGAGCAGGGATTTTTGTCAGAAAATATACTTAGATGGTAAGTCAGCAGCAGTGCTAGTATCCGAAAGCACAATACCAGTCAGGCAGGCTGTCCGATCAGAAGTCATCTGGCTGAGGTTTATCTCTGTCTCTCAGGCCTAATCCCTGATCCTTTTGACCATTTAGGGTGACATGTGGAATCATACAAAGGCTTAGGAAGATACAAGTTTGTTTAAACCAGGATGCTTTTACTTACTTTAAGTGACTTCAATCTAGATTTCTCATTTTCATTTCTAATATTTTTAATTCTGTGATCAGCTATAGTCAGCTGTCAGCATAAATTGGTCTCTTTATTTTGAAGATCAGAAGGTTGGCTGCTTCATTTTTCAGGATTAAATAAGGCTGACATCTTGAAGTTAAAATTTTGAATTAAAGTAGGTTCCAAAGACACTTGTTACACACCATTTCATTTTTTTTCAAGAGGCTTTGTTGCCTTTGTAACCCTGAAAACTGTTGGTATATTGTTTCCCATTGACTTAAGACAAAAGTTGTATATTTATTTGGATTATATTTACATTATATTCTTTGTAAATGTTTGGTGTAACTTGCACTTTTAAAATGACCCTGTTTGGGGTATTAGCAAACTTGAGAAATTCCCTCATCAATTAATTGTCATCTGACTTTTATGTCTTTCTCCTCTCTTCAAATCATGTGTCTTTTTTATGGAAGCTTTTCATTGATTAAAATATTTTATTTAACACCTAAAGGCTAGCCTTATAAATAGCTGTAAAAAGAGAAACATAAGGAAATTAGACTAGTTCAATTAATTTAAAAATGGGTTCAAACCCTGTCTAATTCTCTTTCATCATGAATAAAGATAGAAGGAAATACAACTCAAGTGAGTAAATATTTCCAATTTTAAATGAGATTCTGTCCTCACCCCAACATTAATACTATGTATAGGATCCTAAGATATCCTTGAATTTGTGCAGAACAGTGAAAGACTTCAAGGTAATGTTGTCATGGAGAACACATGTAATAATTTGATTAATTTTTTCACTTCAAATTGTTTTCGTTAACATAAAAAATAACTGTCTAAATTTGACTGGTTTCAGATGAGAGGAAAAGTGATGTGTGCTTATAGTAAGCCTATAGGTGAAGAATTGTGGGATAAATTTGTTCACTCAGTTGTACAAAGCACAACTAGGACTTTTTGTTGGATGGCTTACATACATCTTGAATACTTCTAATGTTGATGTGTTGACTTTTTTTAAGTTGACTGCACAGTCACTGTATGTACTAGGAACTGGTTTCCTTGACTGTCTAGAATCAGCGGCTGAGAGAGGCGCTAATCCCTGAGGGGTCGAACATATCATGGAGCTGAGTCAGTATGGAAGAATTTCAAATCAATCAAACAGGGTGCTGCAGTTCCATCTGTCTCATCTGCTGATGATAAGTTCTTATTGATGAGTGAATGTAGCTTAAGCCTTTGTATGTGTCCTCAGGGGGCAGACAAACTTTAAGAGGGACCAGATAACGTTTGAATGGAGGGATTATATTTCAGGTGTTTTAGCTTGAAATTTATTTTTTAAAAAAATAAAAATAGAAAAAAAAAAAAGAACAAAGCCTGTGAAGCAATTTGATACTATAAACAGGTTGAGTTGTTTAGCACAGAGAGAAAATATTGACCTGTCTGCATTCTGGTACTGTGCATACAGGTCCTAGTTGGGTAAAACACGACACATTTTGAGTTATTCTCACCAGCAAGTAAAGGAAAATGAATATTCTTCAGTAAATGTCTTTTGAAAGTGTCAAACCATAGGAAATGCAAATTTTACCTGCTTTATACAGGCATTATTTAATACTTGCCTATAGAAGTATGGCATTTCTAAGCTGGTGTCTGAGGAGCATCTCAGATATGAGAGTAAATCTAACATAGTTCAAAAATTGGTAGGGAAGGAAGAAAATCCCTGCAGACGATGATCTTAGTCAGCTGGCCAAGTGAAACGATCTGTCATTGTGTTTGGGAGGTTTTATTTTCTTAGGTTTTTAAAATTGAATTGGTATATGCTTTATAGACATTGTATTTTTATCCAGGTGCCACTCCAATTTGTGTATGTAATAAAATTATTTATATTAAAATTGGGGAATAATTCGTTGAGTATAGATTAGGATGGCAGAGAAGAGTGCTAGTTCGCAGTTTTCCATGTAAAGTCCCCAAATGGTTTGTCATGTCAGTTGTCATCCCCACCCAAAGAAGGAATTATTTCTAACCTAGCTGTATCACTTGAAACTTCAGAAATAAAATAATCAGGGAAGTTTCTAGAGAGAAAAGTGTTGGGTTTTCGGTTTTGTTGTTTTGTCTTTCCTTGAGGATTGGGGTCAAGAATACCTCCCCCCAAAACTGTCAGCACAAAACAGGGTATTGACTTTTAACTCTGATGTTCCTATTGGAGTTGAATACTAAATAAGTAAATATAGTGAGGAAAATGCATTTCTAATAAAATTCCCTACATTCTAGAAGCATCCCTGTTTTAATTTTTTTTTTTTTTTACCTAAATCTTTTTGTGCTTTGTGTAAAGAGAAAAAAATGTACTGAGTTATAATGCATTTTATTAACACTATGTACATATTAGCCGCTTTGTGTTCAGAATGGTAGCAATTGCTTTGTATATTAAAGTAATCCTTGTGAATTTGTGAAATATTGTCATAAAGTGCTTTTTCTTACTGTAATCTTTGTGGTATCAACTGTCATAATGCCCTTTTTACACAAACATTTATGTGCTGTCACATAAACATGCTTTTAAAAACTCCTTAAGTCTCTTTTTTGGGATGGGATCATCTACATTGTGGTTTTTCCTAGGTGTGTGAAGGAATATTTTGTGGACTTGGTTTATTTTGTTAAATGGCAAAAGTTAATGCTAGAATATATCACAAGCCTATGTTGCACAGCAGCAGAAAACTAACTCAAACTTAACATATCTTTACTTAATTTTACTGTATTCCTGGTTTTTAGCACAAGATTTCTTTTTTTCAGTAAGATTAATCAACAGCGCCTTTTTGAGGGTTTAGAGATGTTACTGCCCTGTTGAGACAACTGATGGGAGACACGTGGCCAGCTGTGTTTATTGTCACAAAATGCATGTTTGCATTGGAAGGATAAGAATAGATGACTTCTTGGGTCTCGTAATTCTAAAGTTCTGTGATCATGTAAAATGGAAGGAAAGGGGAGGAGATGTGGTTAATCTACTCTTTGCTTTAAGCACAAGAATAAAAGATTCTCTCCTGTACTATTGATTCAATTTCTGAAAATTAGCAGTTGCAGCCTAAAGGACTTTTAAAAATTGCCATGTTGTTTAAGACTTATATCTGCCATTGTATTGAAAGAAATACATGAATTTTATTCCTTTTTTTCCTCTACAAAGAGTGACCACATAATGAAAGACAGATATTTTTGAGAGGGAACGGGTGAGGTGTAAACCAGGACTATGCTGAGCAAATTGGGACCAATGGTGACCCTCCTTGTAAGCTGAGTTTAGGTGCTTGGACCTCCAGTAAAAGCAGAGTGCCTGTCCTCTCCATCCACAACTTTGCTGTCACTTGCTCATTTCACAAACATGTACTTGTTGAGAACACAATTTGGGGCAGTGAGAAGTTCCTGTCTTCAAGAAACTAAGACTCACAACCAAGGAAACAATCCTAACACATTTATACAATTTGAGTCTTGAACTCTAGACTCACATTTGTCATCTGTACTCCAACTGTAAAATAGAGGTCCAAACTGAACTGTTAATTTCTCTAAATCTACTCTCCCCTAAGCTGGTTCTTCTCCATCTTGAAGGTGATACTATTATCCACTAAGCTGCCTTAATCAGGGTTGTCCTTTCCCTTCATTTTAAATTCTCCACAACTTAAGCACATAGACTATACTAGGGCTTAGAATGCTAGTGAGGACCTAACGAGTGAAGAGAGAAAGTAATTTGAGTTTGAATGTGATTTGTGTTCTTGTTTGAGGTGCAAATTCATGTAACAAAATATCATTTTGAAGTGTGCATTCATAATGTTGTATTACCACCACCTATATCTAGTTCCAAAGCATTTTTATCACTCCAGAGAAATGCTGTACTCATTAAGTAAGAGTCACTCAATTTTCCCTTCCCTTCAGCCCTTTGGCAACCACCAGTCTTTCCGCAGATTTACCTGTTCTGGATATTTCACATTGTCATACAATATGTGACATTTTGTGTCTGGCTTCTTTCAGTTAGCATACTGTTTTTGAGGTTCCTCCACATTGTAGCATTTATCAGTACTTCATTTCTTTTTATGGACAAGTAATATTCCAATGTATGTATATGCCACAGTTTGTTCATGCGTTGTACCTTTTTCGTTTCCACTCTGGAGCCATTGTAAATAGTGCTTCTATGAACATCCATGTGCAAGTTCTGTGTTTGGGTGCTTGTTTTCAGCTTTTGGAGGGGTATATACGTCTAGGAGTGGAATTGCTGGGTCATATGATAATTCTATGAGTTAAATTTTGAGGAATGGCCTCAGTGGCTGCATCATTTTCCATTGCCACCAGTGATGCAGAAATGTTCCTCTACATCCTGGCCAACACTTGTTTACATTTTGAAAAAAAAAAAACAGTAGAGCCATTCTCACGGATGGGGAAGTGGTATCTTACTGGGGTTTTGACTTGTAATTCCTCAGTGATTAATGATACTGAACATCTTTTCATGTTTGTTGGCCATTTGTATATCTTCAGAGAAGTGTCCAACTTCATTGCTCACCTTTTTTTTTTCCTTGAGTTTTGAGTTCTTTATATATTCTGGATACTACATCCTTATCAAATAATAGGATTTTGCAAATATTTTCTCCTATCCTGTAAGTTTTCTTCTCATTTTCTTGAAAATGTCCTCATTCTAATTTTTAACTTAGTTTTTTAAAGCAATATGTATATTTGGGAAAAAACAGTACAAATGGGTGAGTTTGTATATCCCTTTAGTGACAGTCTGTCACTAAATGTACACACAAATGTAATGTCTTTTCTCTCCTGTCCCTTTTTTATATAAATGGTGCTTTATTCCTCTGAATGTGTCTTGGCAATAGTTGTATTTCACTATATGTCTATTACCTCAGTCTAACAGGTGTGAAGTATCCGATTGTATAGATAAAGCACAGTTTAACTAGTACTCTCGTTTTGGACATTTAGTTTGAAACTGCTGACTGTTAAGATATACACAAGTTAGTATAGATGGATATACAAGATAGTGTATCTCCAGGATAGATACCGACAAGTGGAAACTTTTTAAGTATAGTTTCCTTCATATTTGGAGGTGGTTTGCTAAGCAGTATTAAGAACTGCTAAGTTAATTTTACATGTCATATTCATTAGTATTTTTTATGTCAAACTTCACAGTCTCTTTTAATAAGTATTCAAAGAAGAATGAGAAGTAGCAGACTAGCCTAGGTTTGCAGTCCTTCCTCTTCTCATTTCTGTTTCACTGTTTTCCCGTCTAATCTTCCTGAGCAACAGCTGTCCTCAGCTAGGGAGCATCCGGTGATGCCGTCTTTTTACTGTTAAATTTTAACCCTTCTCTGGTTGTAGGAAGAAAAGCATAATGTGATTTTAAAGCAGAAACTTCTGAGCTAACAAGTCCTCGATTTTTGAAGTGACAAAAAGAGCCCTGAGGACTGCCCTGCTTTTCCTGGCAACTCATGTCAATGGTGAGAGAACCCAAGTCTTCAGTTGCCAACAACACGGAAATACACTCACTAGAGTATCTCACCTATTCTTGTAAAGCACTTGAAAATGCTGCTTCTGTCTCAGCAGAGGCTGTGGGAGCCGTAACATACATGACTTTTTCTCACACTAAATCACATGTCTATTTCACCAACTATATCTAGGACCTCTTAGCAGTTCAATTCAGTCACAGTTGTGTCTGACTCTGCGACCCCATGGACTGCAGCACGCCAGGCCTCCCTGTCCATGCCCAACTCCCGGAGTTTACTCAAACTCATGTCCATTGAGTCAGTGATGCCATCCAACCACGGCATCCTCTGTCATCCCCTTCTCCTCCTGCCTTCAATCTTTCCCAGCATCAGAGTCTTCCAATGAGTCAGTTCTTCACATCAGGTGGCCAAAGTGTTGGGAGTTTCAGCATCAGTCCTTCCAATGAATTATTCAGGACTGATTTCCTTTAGAATGAACTGGTTGGATCTCCTTGCAGTCCAAGGGACTCTTACCAATAGTAGTGCATTAAAAGTGATTTTTAAAAGAATTATTAATAAATTGTTTCAATTTCCTGGCAAGTCCAGTAGTTAAGAGTCTGCCCATTCATTGTCAAAGGTGTGGGTTCAATCCCTGGTCAGGGAACTAAGATCCCACAAGCTACACAGTGCAGTCAGACAAATAAGAAATTTAAAAATTAAAGTGCTTGAATTTTAAGACCAGTATCTTAAATCGTTATTTTTGTTTCTTGATTTTAAAAATGACTGAAAACACTTCCATCAACCACCATAAACTAAAAGCATAGATTAAACAGAAACGATGTTGGAACTGAATCTTTTATATAAGTTCATACCAATTTTGTTACTGAGAATATGCTTTACATTTTGATGTCCCTGAGAATAGGCAATTTAATAAGGTAACTTATATGTAAAGGAATATGTATTTTTCATGAGTATATATTTATCGAACTTCTATGAAGAGGACACTGTTAACACTTGAAATATAAAATATGAGGTACAGTCCTTGCCTTGCTGGGGCATAAACTGTACTTGGAAAGATGATGAAACATTTCAGACAATGTTACTTTGCCCTCAGTTTTCAATCTAGTGTTCAGCTCATTTAGATAAAGTTTTTTGATCAATTTTAATTCTGATCCTTGAGTACGAAGAATAAATGTACGGTTAGAAACCATGGCTTCAGACGGTTCTATCATGAACTAAAGCAAGATACCCTTAAGAGGGATCTTAGAAAACAGGTGTACTTTAGAGTTTTCGTTCTAAAAACCTAATGTATATTTTAACTCAGCACTTGGCATTTGATTTTAACTGGGAAAAAAAAGTTACTGATACCCACTGGCTGTTAACCACGTAACAGTTAAGAAACTGAGCAATATGAGAATCAAGGCTTAGTACAGTAGGTCTAGAGGAGACTAGATTTCTATCCTTGAGGACAAAATAAGCACACTTAAAATACCTATTTATGGGATAAATTCTTTTCTCAGAGATAAAAAAATCACAACTTTGTTGACATTTATAGTGGGCCATATTCTTACACCCCCTCCCTCTGTACACACCCCTGAAGCACTCATTTCCCAGTTTCTGGTAATGTCGGTGGCTGATGGCACTCCACTGAGTCTCTCAGGAATTGTCTCTACCCCAAGGTTAAGCTCCTTGGATCCAATGACTAGCTACAAGAGGATGTAAGTCCCACCCCTCGCCTCAACACCCATTTTCTGGTCACCCCAGCTCTGAATTCTGCTGAGGGCTTTCCCACCTGCATCCCAACCCAATTTCTCCCTCTTTCCCAATCCTGCTACTTTTACTCCCTCAGGTGTTGTTCTTGAAAGCATTCTCATTTAAACTTTCTGAACCTTAACCTTCAACCCTGAGTCTATTTCCCTGGGGAACTGGACCTGTGACATTTTGAACCCAAAGCCAAAAAAAAAAAAAATCCCACTTGATTTTCACTTAGACAACCGAGCTATTCCTGGTGAATTTTTCTCACCTTTTCTTCTATTTGTAGGACAAGCGGATGGACCTGTGACATTTTGAACCCAAAGCCAAAAAAAAAAAAAAAACCCCACTTGATTTTCACTTAGACAACCGAGCTATTCCTGGTGAATTTTTCTCACCTTTTCTTCTATTTGTAGGACAAGCGGAAAAAATTACCTTCCACCTTTTCTGATTCTTAATGTTTTACAGAAATGTAAAAGAACCCAATCACAGCTTACTTCACTTGGTAGTGCATCCAAGCATGCTACTACCCCCACCCCAGCCCATCCACACCCACAGGCATTCTCACAGCTCTCTCCACAGTCAGGGGTGTTCAAGCTAAGGAGCCGAACTCCAGTTAATATAGTCATTCCTAGTAAGATACCTAGATGGGACTGCCCTTTCATTATAGTGGTGTTAATATTGCAGGGCTTTTATTTTACTTGTTTTTAAAGATGTTCCAGACCCATGGTACAGTACTGGCATTTCATGGATTCAGTTATCTGTGGATATTTCCATTTCATGTGCATTTATCAGAATTGTGTTGAACTGGTACATCACAATGTGCAGAACTTTAAATTCACCTTTATTAAAGTAAAACCTCTATCTAAACCTCTATTTAAAATATGACCCATCCAAAATAGTCATTAAAAGGTTAAGAGGGAGGAGGTCTTGTTTCTGATGTTTTACAAAGAAATCTATCTCTACTAGGAAACATCATACTGAGATTATAATATTCTTGTGGTCTAAATGTTTAAGCTGTTGTTTAAGCTTTTACAATGTGGGGGAAAAAGCAAAAGGGCAGGGTATGTGTGTGACTTCATAAAGTCTATCAAAGGTAATCATAAAACAATGTAGCAATCAATCAAAGATCAATACCCTCTAATTGTATCTTTTTCATTCAAAAAATATTTGGCTATGATATACTAGACACTGGGGAGACCATAATGAAAGAGGCAGAAGCATTCCTGGCCCCCAAGAACTGTACAATCTTCTGGGGCACACAAACATTGAATAAACAATTATAAGTGCAATGTGGAAGGAGCTGAGACTTGGGGAGTTAACCTCCCATGGAAAGATCAAGTCTAAAATTTTTCTTTTACTGTCATCCTGTGCATCATGAGGAGGCAGGGAAAGGCTACAAAACAACACTTGAGAAATACAAAAACATTCAAGAAAGGGTGAAGCTGAAGGGAGATACTACAGCATTTGATTTGAAGATAACCTATTCCCCATTTTAGGAGCTTACCAAAAAATAACTAAAATTTTATTTTTATTTACTCTTTTGTTTATATACCTAAATCTGAAATTACACCAAAAAAGCATATGAGACCTCAGAAAACTCACATCCTAATCTCTAGTAACCAAAAGTACTTAAGGCCTAAATACATCAGACAAAAGAGTTCAATAGTATTAATAGCTCAGGGAATGTATATTAAACGTCTTGTCTTATACTCAGAAAATTAGAAAACTGGGATAAACATATGTCTTACAATGTGTTTTAAATGATTTGCATGAACTAGCCTCACCAAAACAAGTTCTTTATACCAACCCTTCATCACAGCATCAATGAAAATTATTTATTGAGAGGGAGCATATGGGATACAGAAACAACAAAAACCAAAATCTCACACTTTCCTTTAATGTTAGTTGAATTTCAGAGTTAGTAAAATATAACTAAAGAAGTCACAGCAATGGGAAAAAGTGCTGCTTTGTTTGAAAACTGCACATTTGCTTTGTCTTTCGAGAACCTTTGGTTAAACTTTTACAGCAGACTACTTTATTATATGATTATATTCCCCAAGTAAGACCTTAATTGATACACTCAGTGACGACATTCTTATAAATTAGAACCAATTACAAGTCCTCTCTCAAGCATCTCCTCTGTGCTTTGTAAATATGTACGTCTTTTTCAGAATCATAGTGAACCTTGCTCACAGTAAATTGCCTCTCCAGCATTGCTAAGAAGTTGTAATCCCGTTCATAGCGAATTCGGCAAGCTAAAAGAACCATTGAGTGGCTGCTACAGAGATGCTCCAATGTTTGAAGAAGATCTGCGAATGTTTCTTCTAAATATATGATATCAGCTCCAAGTATCAGGTCAAATTCTCCAGGTGAAAAACTCCCCAAATTTTGTCCCCAAGTCAGCTCCTTAACAACAGCTTTGGGCTGGATATGGGGTGGTAAATTGGCTTGAACGTTTGATTTAAGAAACTCTAATGCTACTTTTCGATCCGTGATAGTCACGTGAGCACCTAGAATGTAGGACAAAAAGTAATGCGCACATCAGTACAGTTAATAAGTAGAGGGGTCAAGTTAAACAGCAGGGGGAGCCTCTCTACACATTTCACCTGACACGTCAGACAAGGCCAGAAGCTCCTCCTCTACTGCCTGCAGGTAAATGTAAAGGTTTGCCTCTGTGAAATGCCTATTAAATATAAAGTCCCCAAGTGATAAGCTAGCTGATGCTTCTGAATTCTGCAGGCAGAAGTGGCCCACCCTCCACAGGTGTCTACCATTATACTTCATTCATTAGGTTACCATCTTCAAGTCCGCAGGCTTCAGGGCAAAATGAAAGCCAAAGATGAAAAATCTGGGCGCAAATGATAATGAAGACGGCGAGATACTTTTAAACAAAGAAAGGCTCCTTTCTGGGGCTAGAGCTTTAAAAAGAAGCATAGAAAAAACATTAACTGGCTACTAAGAAATTTCAATCTACCTCTACTTATGCTGTCAGGAAGCAGCCAATCTATATGTAATCATGCAATTTATATATAATTATGGAAAAATGGTAAAGTTAAAAATCACAAAATTGTATTAACAGTCCTGTACGTACTGTTCTCTACGTGCTAAGTTTCTACAAGCAATGTGTAAAATGAAGGAGGCAGTATTGTATTCATCTGTTTCTTGTGGGTTGTTTACAATGAACTAAGAGATAGAACTTTTTGAACCAGTATGGCAGAGAGAAGTCCGAACTGGTAGTTACCCTTCAGGTGAAGCAACTACATAAGGTCAGCCCTGAAACACCTCCTCTACCTTGCATTAACACTATGGAACACATAATCCTGCTTGGTTTTAACCCTGTAAATTCTAAAACATAAACATTACATTTCATTCTTTAATAAATTATTTCTCATCTGCATCCTTCAGTCTGCAATCTTCATGGGCAATCCCCCAGAGGATCCCAGAACAGCTGTTGGCAGCACCATTTCAGTACAGTTTATACTGAAGGTTTCTTATCTTGACATGTAAGAGTGTATAATTCAGTTGGACATGTGACTCAGTCCTGAGTGTGATACTGTGAAAATGTGCAAGCTGACAGATGCATGCACCTATCACTGTTGCTAGTCAGGATGCTGCCTGGTGAGTAGAATTCAGGGGTACTTTCCATCTCTCCTGGTAACAAGCCTTTTCCTACTTTGACCGAGGACTGCCCCTCTGGACTTCCCACCAGTCTACAGAGCACTCTGCGGTCAGCACTGGAGTGGTGTGGTTTTCCACATCAGCTCCATGTTCACATTAACAGCTCTTAGAGGGAGACCTCCTCCAATGCCTGCCTCAGAGGTTTCTGAGGCTACTTCTGACCTGCCAAGTGTGCCCCAAGTTTCAGCAGAATCATACTGTCAGCTGACCATTCCCCAAAACATCCACCAATTCCATAAATGTCCAAGTGGCTGCCATCAGCCATGGGACAAAGACCCCTACCTTCACAGAATCTACATTTAAGGGAGGAGATAGGCAGCAAGGGGTGTTTTTAAAAGTAGGATATCCAGTATGATAGTCAAAGGTATGCACTAAGGAAAAAAATAAAGCAGGAAAGAGAGATACAAGACATCAGGAAGTAAGAGAGTTGGTTTGAAAGGGAAGTCCTCACTGAGAAGGTAACAGGTGGGGAATAACCAAATGCATAGGCACATGTATGGAATCACGATTATAACTACGATTAAAATATGGATGGAGATTCCTTTAAAAAACTAGTACTGAAATGACCGTATGACCCAGCAATCCCACTCCTGGGCATATACCCTGAGAAAACCACGACTGAAAAAGCCACATGTAGCCCAGTGGTCACAGCGGCACCGTTTACAACAGCTCAGACACAGGAGCAACCGAGGTATCCATCCACAGACGAGTGGGACGCAAATACAATGGAATATTACTCAGCCACATAAAGGGGTGGAGCTCAGTCAGTTCTAGTAAGGTGGATGAATCTAGAGCCTGTTATAAGAGTGAAGTCAGTCAGAAAGAGAAAAACAAATATTGTATATTAACAAATCAGTGGAATCTAGAAAAATGGTACTGATGAACCTATTTGCAGGGCAGGAATAGAGACGCAGAAATACAGAACAGACTTGAAGTCACAGTTGGGGAAGGACAGGGCGGGATACATAGAGAGACCAGTCCTGAAACATATACATTACCATAAGTAACACAGATAGCCAGGGGGGAGCTACTGAAAAACACAGGGAGTTCAACCCAGTGCTGTGTTTCAGCCTAGAGGGTGGGATGGGGTGGGTGGTGGGAGAGAGGTTCACGAGGAGGGACATACGTATATTTATGGCTGATTCACATTGTCATATGCCAGAAACCAACACATGATAATGTAATTACTCTTCAATTAAAAATAAATTCTTAAAAATATGGATGGAGTAAAGGAAAAGAAGGAAACACACCAAAATGCTAATGGTAATTATGTTGTAAAGTCATGAACAACCAGACTCTTTGGTGGGTTTTTCTGTTTTTTGGGGGGGGGACTGCTTCTAGGGCTATTTTTGTAATAGACTTGTATCATTTTTATAACAAACAGAAGTTTTTCTGATTTTCGAGTTCATCTTTCATCCAAAGCTATCTGGGCACCCGCTGTGTGCCAGCTGCTGTATCAGCACCAGAGACACAGAGGGACACACAGACACTGTCCCCTTCCTCAGGAGCCTCAGCCTGCCAGGAGAGACAGACACACGGAGCCAACGCCTGCCAGGAGAGACAGACACACGGAGCCACCGCCTGCCAGGAGACAGAGCTGGGGGGCAGAGCGGACACCAAACCCGGGGCGCTGCAGAAATGAGGCAGCAGGTACTTCCAGGGCAACCACAGGCACACCGTCTGCCATCCTGTCTTCTGGTCCCTCCCAGAGGCCCCATCCTTCATGGCAACAACTAACTAGTCCCTCGCTCTGGGATGGTCTTTGAAGAACCTTATCCTGGCTTTGCCAAGCACACAAACTCAGACTTCCAGATGGGAAACAAACATGCAGAGGGGCTATGAACACGTGCTGAGCATTTACTCTGTGCCAGTCANCACAGGGCATAGTGGAAAATGTGTATATGTGTCTGGGTCGCTTTGCTGTGCAGAAGAAGTTGCCATGACACTGGGAATCAACTATGCTTCAGTAAAATTAAATTAAAAAAAAAAAAAAGAGGTCAGCGCCTAGTGGGCCTCTGACCCTGAGCACATCACCACACTGTCTTGACAGCAGTGAGGAGGCCCTTGTTCTCAGGAAGAGACAGAAGAAACCTCATCTCTCCATCCAGTTAACTCCTCTCACGTCACCAAGAGGAGGGTTAGTGTTGCAGAAGAAAAGAACTCAGGCTGCTATATCCGACAAGTCTGGTGTGAGTCTCAGCTCGACACTGATCAGGACTTCAGAAAGTGGGTTAATTTCCCAGAACTTCCAGCTTCACTGGAAAAATGAAAATTTTAAAACAAACCTAACACACACAGGGATGATATACAAGGTTAACATAATGTGAGAACAAAAGATGGTTATCAGTGAGGGCCTCCCTGGTGACTGAAAGGGCAGTGATGTCAGACACGCTTGTGTGCCAAGTCGCTTCAGTCATGTTTGACTCTTTGCTACCCCGGGGAACTATAGCCCACCAGGCCTCTCTGTCCATGGGATTCTCCAGGCAAGAATACTGGAGTGGGTTGCCATTCCCTTCTCCAAGGGATCTTCCCGACCAGGGATGAAACCCACGCCTCTTACGTCTCCTGCATCGGCAGGTGGTTTCTTTACCACTACTGCCACCTGTGATGTCAGAGAGATGGGCCTAAATCAGCTTCTAGGTACATACTTCCACCCACCACCCCTGCCTATGCTCCCCATTGGAAGGCAAAATCTAAACAGAAAAAGGAATACTGAAAAAGATATGTTACCAGAAAAAGAACAGGACAAAAGTGGGGCTTCAGTGGGTCCTCAAGTACTTGTATGCACGTGATGGAATTCTAGATCCTGACCACCCCAGTGTGGTCTGAGGACCAGCAGTTTGGGCATCACTGTCATCACTGGGGAGCTCATGAGACATGCAGGCTCTTGGGCACCACCCCAGATCCAGAGAAGCAGAAACAAGAGCCCCAGCTGACAATACTGAAGTGAAGAATAGGATATATGGTATCTTAGAGGCAGGTCTACCCAATCATCAAATAGCTTGAACTGCATAAGCCAGAGGTTGTAGAAAAGAATCAAAAAATTTGTCAGCAGTCAACTCTTTGTCAACAAAGAGTCAATGAATTATAAAATAGAAATGAAGCTTAAAAATGCTCTAGGCCTAAATTAATGTCTGTATGCAAAAAAAAAACCACACAAACTTTGACATCAAGTCAGAACTACGTACTGTTTAATAGATGTCAGTTCAAACTGCAGGGGGCCCAGCCCTTCCTAAAAGGAACAAACCACCAAAGATTCCTCAGCAACAAAGGTAAAAGAAGATTTTCTGCTCTCCTTACTTCCTTGGGGTAAATCCGAACACAGAGACAGGGAGAGTGGTTTAGTTGCTAAGTCATGTCCAGTGCTTGAGACCCCACAGACTATAGCCCGCCAGGCTCCTCTGTCCATGGGATTTCCCAGGCAAGAATACTGGAGTGGGTTGCCATTTCCTTCTCCAGGGGAACTTCCCAACTCAGAGATCAAACCTGCATCCCCTGCAATGCAGGAGGTTGGTACCTAAAACTGTAAAAAAAAAAGAAAGGAAAAAACCTCCATCCATGAATAAGATAACTCTCTTTGAACCCAGTCTCCTTAATATCATCACAGAATTGAAGGGGGCAAAGCAGTCTCCAATGAGAATACAAATAACGGAATGAGAGAGAGAGAAGGAACGAGCCTTCCCGGAGTTGTGAGCATAGCAGCTGCGGCCCGTGACTCCTAACAAGTACAAGGAGAAGGACAGTAACCCAGTAGGGGGGAAGCTAACAACGGGTCTGTGTCATGGAAAGGCGACCCCTCCACTCCCACGGAGGGAGCCCTGCGTCTCACTCACCCAGCAGGGCAGCCACTATGCCCACCAGCCCTGTGCCAGCACCCAGCTCCACAGCAGAGCAGCCCCGGAGCTCCACAGTGCCCATCTCCAGATACGTGGCAAGAACGACAGCCTGAGTCAAAACACAGTGTGATAGTTAAGGTCAACAAGCGCTGGAGGATTTCCAGCAGGCTCCGTGCTCCAGGAAGTTACCACGCACCCCCTCCCCCCGCCAGGCTCAACTCCCAGGTTAAGGGCACCCAGGGAACTCAGCTGCTGCCGGCAGGGTCACCTAGAGCAAGCCTGGATACTGAGTCCCACCGCCCAGCTGCCCCCAGCCCCTCAGGGGGACAAGCAGCCGTCAGTCATTCTGTCCACCCGAGACCGGGTCCTGCTGAACCTGGGAAGGTTAACTTCTGCGTCACAGCACTCTGACACTCGAGGTTTACAAACCCATTCTGGCAGAGCTGATGTAAACAGTCTCTGTGATCTGGCTTAAGGAAAGTCCAGTTCCTAAACCGAGTTCAGATCAGCAAGGCCACAACCAAAGGGGACATGGCCACATACTATAAGTATACGGAGCAATTCCTCTTCTTGGTGAGAATGAAGGAGATTCACCCATTCCTCACTATTCTGTATCTTTATTACTCTTTCTGAGAAAACTTTTCTTGTAACCTTAGACTGCATTCCTAGAAGTAGTACTACTGGGTTACAGATATATCAATATTTTGTATCCCTGAAGGTTTCTGACACCCCTAATACAATGTTAAGATTGTAAAACTGTATCTATGCCAATCATTTATCCAGTATTCCCTGAATCCTGACTTCCCACTGAATCCAAGGTGTGGCTAGAGGCTGAGGGCAAGTCTGCCACAAGCAGCTGAAAGAACAGGGCTGGGGAGAGGAAAAAGCAGCAATTACAGTATCATTTTTTGATCATGACAACTGTGGAAAACAAAAGAAAACACATGATCCTCGTTTGGGGCTTTGTCAGTGTCATTTTCTTTGTACAATGTTAAACTTAAAAACTAAGTGTCCAAAGCAGCTAGGGGCTCAGGTGGCAAGTCATTCCATTTCTCTCAGCTTTCTTTACTCACTCTTAAAATGCAATCTATTTGAGGGGGCGGGACACACAAACTTTGACATCAAGTCAGAACTACGTACTGTTTAATAGATGTCAGTTCAAACTGCAGGGGGCCCAGCCCTTCCTAAAAGGAACAAACCACCAAAGATTCCTCAGCAACAAAGGTAAAAGAAGATTTTCTGCTCTCCTTACTTCCTTGGGGTAAATCCGAACACAGAGACAGGGAGAGTGGTTTAGTTGCTAAGTCATGTCCAGTGCTTGAGACCCCACAGACTATAGCCCGCCAGGCTCCTCTGTCCATGGGATTTCCCAGGCAAGAATACTGGAGTGGGTTGCCATTTCCTTCTCCAGGGGAACTTCCCAACTCAGAGATCAAACCTGCATCCCCTGCAATGCAGGAGGTTGGTACCTAAAACTGTAAAAAAAAAAGAAAGGAAAAAACCTCCATCCATGAATAAGATAACTCTCTTTGAACCCAGTCTCCTTAATATCATCACAGAATTGAAGGGGGCAAAGCAGTCTCCAATGAGAATACAAATAACGGAATGAGAGAGAGAGAAGGAACGAGCCTTCCCGGAGTTGTGAGCATAGCAGCTGCGGCCCGTGACTCCTAACAAGTACAAGGAGAAGGACAGTAACCCAGTAGGGGGGAAGCTAACAACGGGTCTGTGTCATGGAAAGGCGACCCCTCCACTCCCACGGAGGGAGCCCTGCGTCTCACTCACCCAGCAGGGCAGCCACTATGCCCACCAGCCCTGTGCCAGCACCCAGCTCCACAGCAGAGCAGCCCCGGAGCTCCACAGTGCCCATCTCCAGATACGTGGCAAGAACGACAGCCTGAGTCAAAACACAGTGTGATAGTTAAGGTCAACAAGCGCTGGAGGATTTCCAGCAGGCTCCGTGCTCCAGGAAGTTACCACGCACCCCCTCCCCCCGCCAGGCTCAACTCCCAGGTTAAGGGCACCCAGGGAACTCAGCTGCTGCCGGCAGGGTCACCTAGAGCAAGCCTGGATACTGAGTCCCACCGCCCAGCTGCCCCCAGCCCCTCAGGGGGACAAGCAGCCGTCAGTCATTCTGTCCACCCGAGACCGGGTCCTGCTGAACCTGGGAAGGTTAACTTCTGCGTCACAGCACTCTGACACTCGAGGTTTACAAACCCATTCTGGCAGAGCTGATGTAAACAGTCTCTGTGATCTGGCTTAAGGAATGTCCAGTTCCTAAACCGAGTTCAGATCAGCAAGGCCACAACCAAAGGGGACATGGCCACATACTATAAGTATACGGAGCAATTCCTCTTCTTGGTGAGAATGAAGGAGATTCACCCATTCCTCACTATTCTGTATCTTTATTACTCTTTCTGAGAAAACTTTTCTTGTAACCTTAGACTGCATTCCTAGAAGTAGTACTACTGGGTTACAGATATATCAATATTTTGTATCCCTGAAGGTTTCTGACACCCCTAATACAATGTTAAGATTGTAAAACTGTATCTATGCCAATCATTTATCCAGTATTCCCTGAATCCTGACTTCCCACTGAATCCAAGGTGTGGCTAGAGGCTGAGGGCAAGTCTGCCACAAGCAGCTGAAAGAACAGGGCTGGGGAGAGGAAAAAGCAGCAATTACAGTATCATTTTTTGATCATGACAACTGTGGAAAACAAAAGAAAACACATGATCCTCGTTTGGGGCTTTGTCAGTGTCATTTTCTTTGTACAATGTTAAACTTAAAAACTAAGTGTCCAAAGCAGCTAGGGGCTCAGGTGGCAAGTCATTCCATTTCTCTCAGCTTTCTTTACTCACTCTTAAAATGCAATCTATTTGAGGGGGCGGGAGGCAGGAAAATGATTCTAATGGGTAGAGGTTTTCTGGGGATGGGGTGTGGTGATGCAATGTTTTAAAACTGAGCATAGTGGTACTTGTACCACTGTGAATTTACTTTAAAAAAAAACAACCTTAAGTGAAAGGTACAGTATATGAATTACAAGCCAATAAAGCTGTTACTTTTCAAAAATAAGAGCAGTCTTATCATCAATTGCTGATATTTTCAGAGGCCTCCGGGGCTCACTTACCGCGTCCCAAACCACCGCTGCGACTCCCAGTTGCTTCCAGTCCTGCCGGATCTGGATCGTGTGGTTTGCAAAGGAGAAGGTGGCCAGAGGCTTGTGGAATCTCTGCAGCCCCATCTCCGCGGTCTCCACATAGGGCACCAGGGCCATCTCGCCCCCGCCCAGCTCTCTGCTCCCTCCAAGCTGTGGGGCAAAAGAATCCTGAGTGAGGCTCTAGCCGGAAAATGCATGACCTCTTTAGTAGCTCCAAATGCTCAAAGCCAGTTGTTACAAGTTCAAAAGAAGAAAGAGTTGGGGGGAAGTCTCTAATCCCTTTTGCACGGCCCTCCTGGGAAGTGAGACTTCGCTCTGAATTCATGCCAAAGGTGCTGGATGCCCTATACACTCAGTGAATTCGCAGCGAGCTAAGAGTGAGCGAAGTGGAGGTGAGCTCAGGGCGCGGAGAAAGTGGCGCTTTCTAAACCTCCTGGGCCCGCGTGGACTGCGGCTTGCAACCCGCCGCGGTCGGCGGGGCATCTGTTGTTTTGCGTTGGTCTCCCCTCGCTCCCTCTCCCTCGGTGCGCTCAGTGGCGACCACGACGGACTCGAACCTGAACTTCAACCTGGGGTTAACGTTGTGACTATCCTGCTTTACGATACCAGCTGGATATCCAGGGTCTACGCAGATCCATTTCCTGGAGACTGAAAGTGAAAGACACTCGAGGATTCTGAATCACTCGAGGGGAGCGGGACCCTGGGTCCGGCATGGAGTCGGCCCCCCGCCGCGACTGGGAACCCTCCCGGGAGTCGCCCGCCCCCCTAACCCCAAAGAGGGGCGGCGGACAGGGACGCTCGTCTTTACCCCGGGCCCCGGGGCTACGGGAAGCGGCGGGAGCCTGGAGAGGGGCCGCCGGCTCGGCCTGGCCTCACACCGCCCCAGGAGCCCGGAACCTCCCCGCCGAGGGCGCGGCCAGCAGCCCGGGCGCCCGGCGGGCCCCACAGGGGCCCGCGGCACGGCCTTGCCTCTACTTACAGCTCCAGAGACGGCCTCGAGTGGCGCGCGCGCCGCTTTCCCCGCCCCCAAGGTCGGAGGCGGAAATGACCGGCTTTAAAGGGCCAGAGAGCCGGTAGACCGCCGAGCCGGGCGGGGGCGGGCGGCCGGCGCTGAGACACCCGTTTCCGGTCCCCCGCCTTCCCAGAACCAGCGATCCCCTTGCGCCAGCGACGCGGAGCGGCGGGTGCAGTGTAGGGACCTAGAGCGGGGATGGCGGGGCGGGGGCGGGGCGGGGTTCCCGCTGCGTGAGTCCGCAAGGTATCGGCGCCCCCAAGTCAGTTTCTCTGGCCGCCGAGAGTGGAGTTCGTGGGGGATCCACGCTGTCTAAATCGGTGTATTCTATAGCGACCTCCGCAGACTCGATCCTGAACTTAAACTGGGCGGAGTCGACCCTGAAGTTAAACTGGGCATTTAACGGTATGATTTTCCCGCTTTACGATACCCTCTGGATATTTACGATACCCTCTGTTATTACTGCCCCACCATCATCTCCAGTATTAGATACAAGTGACATTCGCAAAGAGCCAATGAATATCTACAACCTTAATGCCATAATCCGGGCCCAAATCAACCATCTGCGGAAAGCCGTGGACCGGTCCTTGCAACTGTCTCGTCAAAGAGCTGCCGCACGGGAGCTGGCCCCCGTGATCGATAAAGACAAGGAAGACCTGATGGAAGAGATCCTCGAGTTCAGGTCCCTACTGAGCACCAAACGGGGGCAGATCGCCACACTGAGGGCGGTGCTGAAAGCCAGCAAACAGGTGATCTCACTCTACTGATGAGCTATGCTAGCCAAAACTTCAGTTTATGCCTAAACGTTTCCAGTGTCCACTGCCATCAGGATGGGAGAAGGAAATGGCAACCCATTCCAGGATTCTTGCCTGGAGAATTCCATGGGCAGAGGAGCCTGGCGGGCTACAGTTCATGGGGTCACAGAGAGTCGGACACGACTAAGTGACTAACACTACTACACTACTGGATATACACCGCTGGAGATGCGGAGGGCGTGGGTGCCACCGCGGCCGGGGACCGCGAAGCCAACCCGCCTGTCGCTGGTCGGGCGGTGGGTCCACCTGCCAGTCTATCTGCTAGTTCTGACGCTCGCGCTTTTGTGTGTGAGTGGTTTTAAAATTTGTGCGCTTGCTGGTTTTTAGTTTTAAGGGTGATCAGTTAGCGGGTGTAGGAGAAAATTCGCCCCTAAGAATACGTGGTCACCCATTCGTCCTCATCTCACCAAGGTGAAGTTCAAATTAGTGAATTCGCGCGCTCCGTGGCTGCGGAGTGGGAAACGCGACCTGCACGTGGCTCCCCGGCAGGGGTTGTTGCTAGCGGCGGGACGCGCGGTCAGCCGGGATCCTGTCTCCTTCCTCCCCCGGCCAAAAGGTCAGCACACCTGCCCTGGGGGCCCCGTTCTTGAGGCGAAAGCTGCTCAGAGTGTGGCATCTGGCCGCAGGCCCCTGGGAGGGACGCGGTTGGAGTGAGCATCCAGGAATGTGACTGCGCTGGGGCTTGGAGGGAGGGGGGCGAAAATGGCGAGATGAGGGCTACCCTCCTTCTCCCTGGAAGGTTTCTTTTTCCTCTTGGATCTTGACTCCCAGACCCCGCAACCCACCCGCCGCCGCTCTCTCGCAGCGAGTTTCAGCTCCGCCTGCACTTTGGAATAAACTGGAGCGCTTTTCAACTCTGCAGGGCTGGACGCTGCCACTGCAAAGTCTCAGCTGGTAAGCGGTGAGGCCAGAGCAATCCTATTTTTCGGAGCTTCCCGGGCGATTCCAGCAGGCAGCCTGGACCACCCCCACCCCCCGCGTCCCCGCTTCCTATTCCTCTCGCATCCCGCAGGGGGCATGCTCTGCTCTCTGTGCAGATTTCCTAAGAAAGCTGGGACCCTGGGCTGCAAAAGTGACTGGAAGAACTTTGAAGGTCACCAGTGAAAATCTTTTCTTTTTTTCTTTCCTTTCTTTGCTTTGCTCAGTTATTGATCACTAACTTTTTTATGTTAGTGGCATAAACTGGCTGTTTTATGCCAAAACTGGAAAGAAAGTGCAAGGATTCCCCAAACATTCCCTGCCCCCAAACACTCCCTGCCCTGTGCCTAGCCTCCCCCATTTATCATCTCCCACCAGCATGGTACATTTATTACAACTGATGAACCTACCCTAACACATCATTATCACCCCGAGACCAGAGTTTACACATTAGACTTCACTGTTGGTGTTGTCAGTTCAGTTCAGTTCTGTTGCTCAGTCGTGTCTGACTTTGCAACCCCATGGATTGCAACATACCAGGCCTCCCTGAACATCACCAATTCCCGGAGTCCACTCAAACTCATGTCCATTGAGTCGGTGATGCCATCCAACCATCTCATCCTCTGTCGTCCCCTTCTCCTCCTGCCCTCCATCTTTCCCAGCATCAGGGTCTTTTCCAAT